GCCGCCTCACATGTCTTGTGTCTTCAAGGGGTTATTGGTACACCGTAAAGTTGTGGTGTTCATCTAGAGAGCTTTCCGTCTCTTTGGCTCCTTCGCTAAAGTGTATCGGTGTAAGGATAGAGGCCGCTGGGCCAGCAACGCTCCAGTTGATTACCGTGTGTTTTTCCTCTCTCAGCTGTCGATAAACACCATCGACGGCGACGCCATCGTCAGGTCAATCATTGTTGCTCGCGCTGTTATTTTCCTTCTCGACTTGGCCAAGTCTCAAAACCACCCATCCATTTTTTTTTTCGCGAGATATGCAGAGACGCCGACGCTAAACAGGTACTTGCATACAGCCTGCCTACGTCGTGACTATCATCTCTGCAGCTAACGCTGCTAGTCTAGAGACGCAGGCCGCATGCCTTTTTGCCATGTCTTTGAGGGCAGCCACCACGGCGCCCGCTCGCTGACGCTCGACTCGACTTGACTCGGCAACAACCATTTCAAGGATGTGGGGATACCCGTCTCCTGTTGGCAAAACAGCCGCCGACGCGCGCGGGGTCGTGCAGCCGGGACTGCATCTACATACAACTCCTCAAAGGATTGTTGTGTTTGGCGCACCTCATGTGCAAACCCTTGAGGTTGTGGTGGGGAGCAAAGCTGCAAGAGCTGTGAAGCTCTCCCATGCTATCAGCGTCCGTGCCGCGCCCTGGCATTTGTTTTATGCCTTGTGCCGTCTTTGACACTGGTACATAGTTCGAACCCAGAGAGCCGGAACCAGTGCAATACCGAGGACCAGCATTGTTCTCCTACCTAGTACATTTAAATCTGTTGAACTTTTTATGCGCACCGTGAGAAAGTCAGGAGCTTGTCCTTGGCTGTGTTTCCTATGGTGGTAGTTGTCACTCTGGTAGTGATGGTGTGGTCGCCGTCGTCGGCGGCCGAACGTAACGACGTCAAAACTACCCGCCTAAACTTATATGTCGCAACGACGCCTCATTCAAGAGTCGTCAAGGTCCATCGTCAACGAACAACCTAGATTCAGATCGCCGTTGAGCGGGTTCCTCTTTCCTGTAAAATGGCTTTCTTGAGAGTTGTCGATTCGATTCGATTCGTCAACAGCAGTTCTCCTACCGAGAACTAGACATAGGATCTGGGTCACTGAATAAGGTAGGCGATGAGCAACCATCCGATCGCTTCCCAACTCTGTTTAGTCTACACTGGTGTCTGGTGTGGTCTTTTTCTCGCTTGAGGAAGAAGAGATCGCAAAGTATTGAGAAAACTCCGAGCGTATCCAGGGCATCCAAGTCGAACGAGCAAGCGAGTAACAAGCGGTTGGTAAGCAAATTCTTGTTTGGGAAGGCCGTTGGCGCTGTGTTGTGGACGTGGGCAACCCGGCCGGCCTCCAACCCTGCTAAACCGTATGTAGTCGTGCGGAAACCCAGCCGAACTGAATTGGATCGGGGTACGGCGAAACGGGCGGAATGACTGATGTTTACTGACGCAAGTGCGCAAGTATATACTGTTGTTGCTGTCGTTCTTGTCGTTAACTTGTCTGTCGCATATTCGTCTGGTCTTGTGGTCATATAGATATGTCGTCACCGCGGCTGGTCCCCTCCCCCCTTTATTTTTCTGGATGACAGAAACCCTGATCAGCGTAACCTCCGCAAGATAAGGGTCTCTCGCTGCTGAAGAAGAGTGGGACGCGACGAGCCAGTTGGGATTTGTCTCAACCGACAACTTCCATTTTCGTTCGATGGTTTAGGAAGACCCAGTTTCTCGACAGTGCAAACTAACAGTGGGGTATGGCCCTGGAGTCAAAAAAGGGGGACAGTATTGGCCTCGAACACCTAGCAGTCCTTATAAGCCCTTCTCCACTATGAGGTAGCCGTACAGGCGGACTTGCGCAAGTCCCCGCCCGTGATCCCGTCTAGGCATGTGGTTCTGTCGACCTAGATAATCCGACTGTGTTCGATTCCAATCCGACTGTGTGGGCCAAAGCACATGTCACCTCCGGCAACCCAGATTAGTGGTTAGGGTTAGCGGTTAGGGTTAGGTGTTAGGGTTAGTTCCGGGGGTGCAGGGGGCCGGTGAGAGGCCCCCGCGTATGAATGTCAATTGAGCGTTTCGAAGAAGGTGGTTTTGAGCTCTCGTTGTCGTTGTTGAAAGATATAAGGACTTGGTGATGGTTGCCCGCGCGCGAAGTTGATGCCAAGCGCCGCCAAGTCTCGAGTCTTGGCTGAGCTGGCTCGGGCTTGGCTGTCAGTTTGTATGGCCCCACACAGTCGGATTGGAATCGAACACAGTCGGATTATCCGGGTCGTGGTTCTGTAGGTCATTGAAGCTATCAAAGGCGACGTGGACCAAAATCCTACCTAGGATATCATGATATGTACTGAGAGCGCGAGCGTGGCCGAAGCCAGGGCCGACTACTGTGTATCTACCGTTCTAAAGTAGCTTAGAGTAAGTGAAGTACAAATGACCAAGATGATGTTCAACTATACCAAAAGAGCCCGATTCGAGTCGTGTTCCGCGGAAAGTTTACAAGTTAGAGGTCTCTTGGCGACATGGATACCTGATAACACCAAGTCCTCGAAGACATTCATTCCTTGGCTCGTGCGACTGAAGAAGACTACCTATCCATGTCGGCCATGTCCAAATCGAGAAGCCATCTTACATCTCGCTTACGCTCTGACAATTGACAATTGGACATCGCATTGCGAAACAACACTGCCTTCGTTCCTTCCCCAGGTCGCCGAGCTCGGTTGTCGTGCGCATGCGCTTCCTCCTTCGACACTGCGACACTGCAAAGACAGGACAATGCATATGCAAGCCCAAACGATATGGTACAATGTGTGTGTGTGTTGGGCAATTTGCTTTTGTGATTCGCTAGCGAAGGCAATGTAATTTCATCAGCGAGCATGCTGCCCCGAGTCCCTGACGAGAGATGATTGAGCCTCTTTGAGCCTCCATGGTGTCCCGGTGCCTCTCCGGTGCATACCAGAGGGACCTCGAGGACGAAACTTGACTGGATGAGAAGGAGCACCTAACTCTAGGGGTGGTGCATGCATGCTGCAGCACAACAACCTCTCGAGAGGAAGGGAACAACATCAATAGCAGGAATGGCTGAGACGACGATGGCAGAAGTGCAGTGTGGCGTGAGGGAGCCAGGATTATAGAGCGCGGCTATCTACTTGGCATCGGTCGGATGAGATTTCATGGCTAGGCATATGGTGGATGACCATCGATATCACTCCCTCGTTCGGTCGGCGTTAACGCAGTGTCTCGGGAGGCAGGACCTTTCTTCTTTTTGTCTTTTTGTTTTCTTTTTCTTTCCGGGTGGGGGGGATTGGCGTTCTGGAAAAAGTATCAGACCATCCAAGGCATCTTCACTTTTCCGCAGGGAATCTTGAAGCGAGATGTGACGAGGCAGGTGCCGTGTATGTGACTGATCCCCTCGATAGTACATATGATACGTACCTTCCATACCTTGCGCGCACGGGCTTCGATTTTGCAGCGAGACAAGTTGCAAAGTTTAAGTGAAAGGGTCAAGCGCCCTCCGCGAGAGCAAGGCAGGGCAGGGGGAGGGAATCGTGGAAAGCGGAGAATACGAGAGTTGGTGATACTGTTGGACGAAAGTTGGATGCTACCGTGCTCATGAATCAGGCCAAGTGCGACAGATCACAACAACAACCTTAGCTCCAGCCAAAGGGACCACCGTCACGAGGGCCTCCAGAGTCAGGACTTTGGACTCACAGGACCTCTCTATGTCAACTACCTATCTGGAGGGGAAAAGGCTTGGAAAAAGCTCCGGTGGCATACATATATCAATCGTATTACGTCCTCGTGCAAGGGTAGGAGAGCTTGTTCGAGATTGGTGCAGTTTTGTTCTTGTCAAGTTGCACTGCTGATGCTGTAGATATCCTCTCTCTACTTTGCCTTCCAATGGGACACTGGAGAGCTCTCAGGTAACGACGGGAGGGGCAAGGCCAAGCACTTTCTTTGGATGCCTGACAGCAAGGTTCAGTCGTTCGATGAAACCGGGGTTTGGTAACACCCCGCCGCCGCCGCAGCGCGTCGTCGTAGTCGTAGTCGTCGTCGTTATTGTTATTGTTTACAATCTCTACATAGAATAAACTTCACGGAGTATTACTTACTGTTCTGGATGCACTATTGTGGTACAAAGCTCAAACACGGCGGACGATCGAATGCACCCGAATCTCGTTTTGGCCAGTCCAGATATGGATAGCACTTTGATATTAAAGTTAATAGAAGGAAAAGGTTTTCCAATTGCTCCATCCAAAACGAAACACTGCAATTGCCTCTCTTCACTTTGGCTCTACACTGCCAACTCATTCGTGCATCTCTCTAAAATCGTCTCCTTCCTTCTTCATGATACTATCGAGGCGCTTCTTTTTGTTTTTGTTTTTTTCCATTTCTTTTGGGCGAGAAGATGCCTAAAAAAAGAGGGGACGTCCCCGCTTTGGGTTAGTGATCACTGCGCTTTGACAGGGTTTCAAAATGCATGCAGTCCGGTGCGTGGGGCCATCACGGCTTCCCGCGAAAAAGAAAACTGCAACTGAAATGCCCCACTTCTTTCACCCTGAAACTTTCTCAGAGCTTCCTATTCGCTCCTCACTGTGTAGTGTACACTTCTAACATCTGAGGACTTCTCACTTCGTCCTTTCTCATGCTTCTCCTACAGACTCACCTTGCACAACATGGAAGCTGGGAGTGCACAACTCGCATTCGATTGACAGAAAACGATTCATCAGAGACATCGCAAGAAAGCCACTGAGATTTCACCATCCTCGTTTCGTTCTTTCGGGGCGAGGCCCCCGTTCCCCGCGTGCAGATCCACATACCTCAACCGAGTAACCTCAACATCACATCCTCACTTGTGACTCTGCACAAAGCACAACATATACTCTAAAGAACGAATAGTAGTACCAGGTCGCCCAGCACAGATAATGGAGTACAGTATGAGGCGGAATAAGCAGGGGAATATCCCCGAGTGGACAAAGTGTGCAAATTCAAGCTGAGGTGTCCAAAAAGAGCCTCCTGCCTTTGCCCGTTTCGGCTTCCCAATACGTGGCAGGCCGTGAGCGCATCTCGCTAACTCGCTTCGTCTGCCTAGATTCCATGACTCTTTTTGCTTATGTCGCGTGTAGCATCATGATATTATACTGCCCAGGTACAGGTGCCTGTCCTGAAAAAGTAATGCCAAAAGTCCTTTCAGGTGCGGCAAACATGCTGTTTCCGTCGAAGCGTTTATCGGGCCGTTCCCCTAGGAAGAAGCATTCTTACTCGTCCCCTTTCCATGTCCGTGGATTTCGTACCTGGTGCCTGACCTGAAATCTTCCACCCGGGGCTGCGTCCCTTGCTTATACACGTTGTGTCATTGTCATGAATCCAACGCCAAGCTCGAAACGTCTGGATACCTCAAGTCGGCGTTCTCCTCCAAATACTCCATCCATCTCTTCAGAAATGTGCTACCCCTGTTGTGACGGAGGGTCAAGTCAGTCATCAAGCCTAGGTAGAGAATGATGTATGTTGTACAAGTCACTCATGTCTTGTCATTTTCACTTACTTCTTGACTGTCTCCGAGTCTCCAATGACTGTCAACGACCGCTTCGGCCGCGTCATGGCAACGTTCAGCCGTCGTTTCTCGCCCAAGAAACCGACTTCGCCTTCGTCGTTACTGCGGACAAGGCTAACGATAACTGCCTCCTTCTCTCTTCCTTGGAATCCGTCCACACTGCCGAGCTCGATACCGGGAAACTCGTCCTTGAGGGGTGCCAGGATGGAGAGCTGTGATCACACAAGCACAAAAGAAGAGTTGGTCAGTCGTCAATGCCGTGTAATGTGTTTTTCATGTCGTGGCCTGGGCGCACATAACACGTTGTTTCATGCAAAGCATACGGGCTGCCGGGGTAGGCATTTCTTTGCTTCCTCAAAAAAAAAGGAGCCAAGTAGGGAAAGGGAACAGGCAGGAGCACCAAGAATGAATACGATCGAAGAGGGGAATAAAAAACATACCTGAGCATTATACGGCGTCACAACCGCAATGTCATCTGGTCTAACTCCCGCCTTGACCAGGCCACGCACATGCTGTCTCACCAGCGCCGCCTCCATCTCATTACTCTTACTCTCGCCGTGAAGACTTCTAATGACCTTATTTTTGTCTGTTGATCCGCTGCCGTCCAGCTCCTCCTCGTTCTTCTCCGGGAAGTCGCCGCCCTGTGTATCAATGAAAATCAGTGGCTCGGTGGTATCGTCATTAGCCTCCACCCCCTCGTACGGCAAGTACTTGAGCAAGCGCTCCCTGACATGCTCGGCCGCCACCAGCTTAGACTCGTAAAGCTCGTCCGACGGGAACCGCATGATCTTCTCGTGCATGCGGTACTGCGTGGTAAGCATCCTCTTGATTGAGGGGCCATGCAGGGCCAGTAGTCTGTCAAACATTGTAGTCTCCAGCGTCTGGCCCTCCTTCTTCTCCTTTGTAGTGGCAGCCTTCGAGTTCAACGATTTGATTGTCGGCGGCAGCTGCAAGTGATCACCAGCCAACACCGCCTTCTTCGCCCACAGCAGGGGCACCCAACACTGCGCCTCCAGCGCTTGGCTTGCCTCGTCGATGATCACCACGTCAAACTCCTCGTTCTTGAGCTGGTATCCCCCCGCGCCATGCAGTGTCGCCAGCACGACTTTGCTCCTGCCTACCAGGTCGCTCACGCACCGCCGCTCCCGCTCGCGGTACTCCTTGCGCAGCTCCTTCAGCTCTGCGTAGATGGCTCGGCGCTCGCGACCATTGCGCGTCTTGCGGATCGAGGCCTGCTTGGCGTCCATCTCGGCGCGCACGTCTTTGACGATGGCCCCGGCGTCCGAGGTCGTGGTGAGAATGTCGAGCGAGTGCGAGAGGACGGAGGGGAGAAGGCGGGCTGGATGGCCGAGGCGGAGGATGGGCAGTTTGTGTGGCGAGAGTCGCTCGACGATGTTGTCGACGGAGATGTTGGAGGGACCGCAGACGAGGATACGGAGGTCTCGGCGGAGGAGTTGGAGGATTAGTTCGATCAGAGTGTGTGTTTTGCCAGTCTGTAATGGTGAATTAGACATATAAGTGACTGATTGCGGGGAAGGGAACGTATAAACATACCCCGGGAGGACCATGGATGAGAGCTATCTCCCTCGATGCTAGTGCAAACCTAATAGCATCCTTTTGTGAGTCGTTCAAAGTAGGATCAACCCACTCAATGTTGCCAACCTCTGGGTCATTAGTTAGATCCGCCGGGACAGGTGAGGGTGATGACTGTCCGAAGAGGACTCGGATGAACATGGAGTGTTCCGACTCGCTCATCTTCTGAAGCTTCTCCATGGTTCCGTTCATCCTGCAACCACCGTGTTAGCTGACGTTTGACTGTAATCACCACCAAGTTCCTGTTCCCCCAGCCTCTGTTCCCTTTTTGGCTTTCATCTCATCATCCGCCAACCCTAATCGACCTCCTCTCCCCAACTCTCACCTCGCATCAGATCATCGGAAGCTCACCTCCTATAAGTAACATCATCAGCCAACTTAACCATCCAAACCCTCCCACTGCCCCCCAAACCCCCCGTCCCAACTACATTCTCCTCCCCCTTATCCTCATCCAGCGCCACACCCACCACACCCCTGCCCACCCTCGTCACCACCCCCTTCGCGCCCTTCTTCTCCAATTCCCTGACCTCTCGCTTCTTTGCGCTCCCAGCCGGCTGCTCAGACACTACCACGATATCGCCTGTCCGAATTCCATGTTCTGGTAATTCCGGTCCATCATGGCCCCCACCCTTCTGGCCTGACGATGAAGAAGAAGAAGTGGTAGTGACAGTAGCAGAATCGGGCCCGAGTTCCAACACCGTCTTTCCGCCATAGCCGGTCCGCTGGGCATTGACGACTAGGTTGGTCAGGGCCAGGCCGGCGCGCTGCAGGGCGGTGGGCGTGTGCAGCCCGATGAGCTCGGAGGTCTCGGCGATTTCGGCGGCGAGCTCGGAGGAGAGGAGGGTGAGTTGGGTGGAGGCGAAGGAGGGGATGTCGATTGTCTGTGAGGGAGTCATGCTGGTGAGTGGGTGGATGGAAAGAGTGGTGAGGTTCATGAAATCCGGACACGAGCGGGGCCGGGAGAAGGGACTGTGGAAATGACAGAAGGCCGCGCCGCCGCTCAGTTACAGTGACTCTGTGCGTCGTTTGGCGGCTGGTGGTATATTATCCTAGACGTGTGATCGTTGAGACAGGCACAAAGCCCACAGTTCAGGTTGCGGTTTGGTTCAATCGAATCGCAAAATTAATGTGAGCATATTGCAGTGGTTTGTTGTGTTGACGTATCGTTCCTTTCTTGTTAGGGAATTTGGTGGAGTTACCCGCGAATTGTTAACGAATGAACCCAATGATGCATCTAGCCGTTTCATTTTTTTTTTTGTGACAGAGCAAACACACACCTTCACATCCGCCAAATGGAAGGTCATTCTGCATGATTCATACAATTGCTACTTAATCAATACTCGAGCTTTCTTACTCTCATTTTGATCTTCCTTATGCGTGCCCATATTCCTAACACAGGAAAAACACAACGCGATGGTAAAAAATTCCTGTAGCAGTTACTGAGCCGCTCCTCTAAGACTGACCAGGCTCTCCCAAAACCCGCCATTCCGTGTCTCGGTGAATGATATCGTCCCTTCCAATCGGCCTAGTCCCATCGTTCACCACAATAGCCTCGCGATTCCGATGTCTAATCCGCTGCTCCTCAGCACTCGTCTCCTGCGCCCGCGGAGTCCTACCCATGTTGATAGAGAGCAGGAGGTTATAGCGCTCGCCGCTTGTGTCCATGAGGTTCAAGTTATCGGCCTGCTCAGCCGCGAAGTCGTCAGCCCCTTCTTGGGACATGAGACCACATCTGACCAGCACCGACCTTCCCGATCCAGTTTTGCGCACCGCATCCGCAAGCCTCTTTATCTTGTTATCCCTGTACAGCATATAGTTGTGGAAGTTGCGCTGTCTGTCTTCCTCAGTCCTGCCCCAGTTTTGCTTGGACAGCCAACGTTCAACGAACTTGGAGCGGATCAGCATCTCTGGCCCGTAATGATCAACCAGCTGCTCAAGAAAAATGAAGCACATTTTCTCGGTGATGTCCCTCAATGGATAATCGTCCCATCCATCATTCTCGAGAACCTCCTGCTCCGGGTCGAGGGAGAGCTCGAGGCACCGGACTATGGCGGAATATGCTTTCCAAGTGTGAAGCATAGGGAGAACTCCTTGAAGCCGTGTTAGCGAGCCGGTAACTTTCAAGCAGTGTTGGGATACTCACGAGGGACACAGATGACAGCCAGAGCCCTCAAGTTCTTGACACGCTCGTCATAACCTGGACGGGTGACGCCCCAGAGCAACGTCTCCAGGAGACCGGGGTCATTTGCAGCCCTATCACAGATTATCTTGGCAGCCGTCTCCTTTATGGCGTAGTTGTAGTGGCCCAGCAAGGTGTCCAGCGTCTTGAGTTCGAGCGAATCCTCGGTCTGCTGCGTGATGTACTGCGTCTTTGGCGGATTGGGGGTGACAATGGTCTCGTCTCGCCATCTTGTTAGCCAAGTATTCATGGCGAAGATGATCAAGCTCGCCGTGACGAAGCCAATGCCGGTGAAGACCACCCTCTCATCTCGAAGAACCGATGATTGCCAGCCCATAATAACGGTATGGTGAAGAGGGATGATGCTTCAGCATACGTAAGTTTGACTTTTATGTGTTGTTTTCTTTTTCTCTTGATCACATCGCGACTTTCAGGTTGAGACGGAACACTAAAAAATTAAGAATTAAAAACCATGAGCAGCCCAGGAGGATGACGATGGACAGCTTCACACTTCTGTTCAGTGGAGTGACACGCGCTGTAGAGCTTCGTCTTTCAGCAGCTACAGTGCAGCACGGGCAGGCCAGGATGCTTCTGCCGCCCCTGTGGACATTACTGTGTAGGTAGGTAACTGCCAAGAATTCAAGGTGGAGCATGACGATAAGATAAGCACCCTTCATCACCAAAATTTCTGAGATGGAACCAACCGCCAAAGACAACCTATTGATTGTTGGTCTCGCGATCGAACCCACTTCGCGACGCCCTCCCTCCCTCTTTCTTTTTGAATACTCCCCTGTCAAGTCGACAGTCGAGACACCTCAACAAACATGGCCGGGTCTCAGCTCAAGAGGCTGAAGGCCTCCCTCAAGGACCAAGGCATCATCGGTCCCCAGAGATCCAAAAAGCAAAAGCGCCAAAACGCCCAGGACGCGAAGGCTTCCACCGACAAGCGACTCCAGCGCCACGAAGCTCTTGCCAGCATCAGAGAGCAGTTCAACCCCTTCCAGTTCAAGACCAACGCCAGAGGACCCAAGTTCGAGGTTACCACCAACAAGCCCCAAAATGATAAACTCGCCAAGGGCATCCAGGGCCGCCCCGGCCTTGCGAAGGCCACCGCTGAGCAGAGGGTTTGTCCATCCCACTCAGATCGGCCTCCTGGTTTTGATGCTAACTGTGCCATAAACAGCGACGGGAAACCCTCCTGGTTGAGATGCAACGGCGCAACAAGGTCGGCGGCATTGTGGATAGGCGTTTCGGCGAGGACGATCCCAACATGACCCTGGAGGACAAGATGATGGAACGTTTCGCGCACGAGCAGATGAAAAGCCACAAGAAGAACACCGTCTTCGATTTGGAGGGTTCCGACGACGAGCAAGAACAGGTCGCCCTTACACACGCCGGCAAGACTCTCTTTGACGACGACGACATTGAGGCGGGTCGTGACGATTTTGACGAGGACGTTTCCGATATGGAATCCGACGATGAGCGTTCAGCCAGAAAGAAGTTTCTCAAGCGCCTGCGCGCTGAGGAAGAGGCTGCGGAAGGTGAAGGAGAGGATGGACAACCGGAGAGGAAGAAGACGAAGAAGGAAGTTATGGAGGAGGTTATCGCCAAGTCAAAGGCCTTCAAATACGTAAGGGACACCGCTAAGCCGGCTACTTCCACTCATCAGCTAATAACAATTGCTACAGGAACGACAAGCAGCCAAGGAGGAGGACGACGATCTAAGAGTGGAACTTGACAAGGAACTCCCAGAATTGCAGTCCCTACTCTTCCAGATGAGACCGAAGGAAACGAAGGACTCCAAGGGTCCCGCCGTCATGGCAGGAATCGACATGGACCAACTTGAGAAGGAATACAACATGCGTCTCAAGCAAGCAGCGCGTGAAGCCAGGGCCGAGGTTACCGACAGGACAAAGACCGACGAGGAGAAGGCGGAGGAAGGAGTTAAGCGTCTCAAAGAGATGGAGGAAAAGCGACTCAGGCGCATGCGGGGCGAGATCGTCTCGGATGACGAGGAAGAGGAGGAGCAGAAGAAGAGCAGGAAGAAGGGAGACGACCAAGAGGTACAAGACGAGGCCGACGAGGACGAATTCGGCCTCGGCAAGGGTATCAAGCTACGAATGACCGCCACCGAGATGGGTCTGGACGACGAAGACGATTTCTTGCTCGAAGACGACCTTATCGCAAGCGGCTCTGAGTTGGATATGGACGAGGACGACATGTCGGACATGGACGGGAGCGACGACGAGGATGCCTATGATCCTGACGAGGACGAGCTTGTGAATGGTGGTGAGGACGGCGAGTCGAAAGAGGTGGCCACAAAACTTCACGCTCAGTCAAAAGGCGGGGACGAGGACGGCATACCCTATACCTTTACATGTCCCGAGAGTCACGAGCAGCTACTGGAGATCTTGGGCAGCCTTCCTGTGACCAAACTTCCAGTGGCCGTCCAGAGGATCAGAGCTCTTTACCACCCCAAGCTGGACGCAAAGAACAAGGAGCGCCTTGGAAATTTTGCCCAAGCCCTCATCGAGCATATCGCTTACCTTGGCGACAACTTCGAGCCCACCTGGTTCCCCACCATTGAGAACTTGATCCGCCACGTCCACTCACTCGCAAAGACCTTCCCGATCGAGATATCCAAGGCTTACAGGTCACGGCTTGAGGAGATCAAGGAGAATCGGCCCCTAGCCCTTAATGTCGGCGACCTTATGCTTTTGACAGCTATTGGCACAACCTACCCTACTTCTGATCACTTCCATCAGGTGGTTACCCCTGCGATGCTTTCCATTACCCGTTATCTGGGACAGAAAATCCCCCAGACACTCGCCGACTACTCAATTGGTGCTTACCTTTCGATCCTCGCCCTTCAGTACCAATCCTTCTCCAAGCGTTACGTACCAGAGTTTGTCAACTTTTGCCTCAACACTCTCTGCTCGCTCGCTGCTGAGAAGCCCAAGGAGAAGCTTGGTCTGTTCCCCGTCCACGAGCCCGCTGCTGGCATCCGTGTCAAGGGTGCCAGCAAGGTGACCGTCAGGAAGCTCAACTGCGGTGACTGCCAGCAGCCCAAGAGCGCTCGCTCCACCAGCGATGACTCCGCTCTGAAGGTTGCCATTATCAGCACCATCACCTCTGTTCTCAGAACCGCTTCCGAGACGTGGTGCAAACTCCCCGCATTCTACGAGACCTTCCAGCCCGCCCAGCGCGTGCTTCAACACCTGACAACCAAGTCCAACGCCGCCCAGCTCCCTGCGGCCCTCGTCAAGCAGCTTAAGGACACAACGACAAGCATCTCCCGCCTCCTCCAGCTCGCCCAGGTTTCCCGCAGGCCACTCGAGCTGCACCACCACAAGCCGCTCGCCATTAAGACGTACGTGCCCAAGTTTGAGGACTCGTTTGACCCCAACAAGCACTACGACCCAGACCGCGAGCGCGCCGAGCTGGCCAAGCTGCGGGCCGAGCACAAGAAGGAGCGCAAGGGCGCGCTCAGGGAGCTCCGCAAGGACGCGGCCTTCATGCAACGCGAGAACCTCAAGGTCAAGAAGGCCAAGGACGAGGCGTACGAGAAGAAGTACAAGCGCTTGGTGGCGGAGATCCAGGGATCGGAAGGCCAGGCGGCAAACGAGTATGCGAGGGAGAAGGCGGCGAGGCTCAAGAAGAACAAGAGGTAAACGGTTACTTCTTAGAAGGTTCGGGGGTAGCAGTCGGAGTAGGTTTGTGGTCGGCCGCGTTGTTGTTAGTGCCGTTGTTGTTGTTGCTGTCATGTACACATCATCATCAGCGTTCAGTGCAAATGCAATATTCGGATCATGGGTTTGAGATACCATGTCTATCATATCATCTACTAGTAGGAGTTTCAAGATCATTTCATCATTTGCCAACCCTCAGTACGTACATCATCTACTCCTGATGTTGTTTACATGTGATGTTTACGCAACCCAACAATTTCATCATGGTACGCATCCCTACCTGGAACTTTCAACACTTCGACGAAACTATGAAATATCGGTTATCGCTATTGACGGCGAAGCCTCATTTGAAGAGAAGAGACCAGAAAATATAAATCAATAAAAATTGGAAAAAGAATCAAAAACAAAATAATTGAAGCAAGACAAGAAAACCGAGCAGTATGGAGTTGCCCTTCGGTCGGCGTGTCCGTCCTGCGGCTACAATTCAAACAAAGCCATTCTTCAATCACTTCCCCCCCCCCCCCCCACCCCTCGTGCCACCCATACTGTACCTCCAGCACTGGCCCAACGACTAACTACATGGTTAGTTACGACTTACGAACAAAAGCGACCTAAATAACGAACAACCGCCGCACGTTATCGGTCAGCCAGATCACTGGACCCTGAAAACCCTGAACCAGTGAAATCGGCGAGAAAGTTCCGCCGAGGTACTTAGGTCCTGGGTGGATGGTTAATCAGTATGTATTTTGCCCAGTCTGAACTTTGTAGACTTTCAAAGACAATTCGTATCTCTTTGTTGTGGTTTTTAGACGCTGTAGGCGCCGTAGACGATGGTGTTGTGTTCATCAGGGAAGTCGGGCACTTTACGACTCTTTCATTCTTCTCTCTTTCGTTTGCTACACTCTCACTAGCACACGCTTTTTCTTCTGGAGGGGAGAGCAAAGAAAATCATACAGCACATGGGATTTCGCGCCAGTTGGTGGCTGGGACTTCAGTTGGGTTGATCGGTTGGTTCCGAGTAAGATCAAGATTCCCGTCCCGTCTATGAGGGTCCCCGTGTCCCCCCAGTTCCAGGTTTCCGGTGGCCGCAAAATGAGCCTCACGCACCTCTCAGTTGATCGAAGACGGGAAAAATAGATGCCAAGGCGACGTGTGTTATCGCGATCTTGACATCGATCGCATCCCTGAAGCCATGGATTGCTATCGGTGTTCCCGCTGTGTAGAACCGACGATTTAGGCTTGCTGTTTCTGTTGGCTGCCTCTAACTATCACATCGATCCTGTGGCAAAGTTCGAAGAAAGAGGTGAAGTAACGAAAAGGAAAGAAAAACATGCAACCGCAAAGAAAAAAAAACTCCCATAACACACATCAAAAAGCCAATTCGACTCCGTTCCAGCCTAAGCGCCCTCACAGATACGGCCCCCAAGAAGACAGGTATGTCTGGTACACTCCAACCGTATTCTCATACACAGCCTCTTCAAGCGCGCGCTTAGAGGCGCATGTGGATATGAGCACCAAAGAGGCCTCCTGATGAGGCTCTTCCTCGGCAGTTCACTCACATGATACTCTGTTAAAATGATTGATGTGTTCTTTTCTAGAAATCCCACCAGGGTTCACTTTTCGGCTCCCTTTTTTCGAGAGCGTAGGTCTCAAAAGCGGGTCGCCGGGCTGTGGAAGATTGAGGCTGTGTGTGTTGTTTTGACGTAGTGAGTTTACTAGTGGGTTTCGAAACATCTAAACGTCAACAAAAATCGCCCCCACAACATTGACCGAGATGGGCAAAGGAGAGCGGAGTGAATTAGAACGAGAGTGGCCAAAGACAATGCGGCCATGAGATCCTAACGAGTTTGAAGCCATTCACGATCCGAAAACGACGAGTGGTCAAGGCTGAGCCAGAAACATAATAAACTCCACGATATTTTTCCACAATGAGGTAGATGAACAGAAATAGGTAAAAATCATGCCTTCTGTGACCTGTTGCGCTGAGCAGTTAATGACATGTCGTTCCAGCCTCACCTCACGTTCATGCTATCAGACATTGTCAACTCTCTTGTTGACCCGAATAGACAGACGACTGCTGCTACTGCTGCTGCTGCGCCTCTATATCCAACCAAGCTGGGATCGACCAGCTTAACCAATCTCTGGCGTGCAGCCAACGGCGAAGCTATTAGCGGCAAAGTGAGGCGCGGATACTGAACGGGAGTCGGGAACCGTACCACTAGTAGGGCGATTGCCGGGCGACTTATGGCCGCCACCATGCTTCTCCTACCGTGCGGCGTGCCACCTCTTATAACCCATTCACCCATTCAGTTCAGAACCTCACCGGCCTTGTCTCGCCGCTTCGAGTCTGTGACCTTGAGGCTGTGAAGTGTCACTTTTCGAGCGGTTGGAAGTAGACATCATCTGCATAACTAGTATAGGATGCGGCTGGGATCGGTCATACCATATAGAATTCGGTAGCGAGATGCTCAGCCGTCCAGCTCCTGTGCTTCCTGGTTTAGTGAATGGTCGTCAATTAGCTGACTGGTGAACGTTTCGCTTGAAGGGTAAAAGCGGGGTGAAGATTGACTGCTCTATGTAGACTTTAACTGTGTGGTGCCGTGCCGTACTGACGGGAGGGCAAAGCGGGAGGCGCAAATCCAGGGGTCTTGGCCTTTTGACCTGATTGTCTAAGAACATAAGAGGTAATGACTGGAAAGGTTAGTAGTGATTGTTGTCCACACGGACGAGGATGCATATTGCTGATTGTGCTGTCAGCCCTCATGGTCTCCAAATAGGACGGTTTTTGGCATGTAGTCTTCAATCCGGTTTTCGCTGCAGATGTCACCTATGATCCAGGTTGATCATGGTGATAGTATAGCTGGTAGTAAATATTGCTTGAAGCCATCATAACCTAAACCTCAGCTCCAAGCCAAATCATCGCTGAAATCAGGACCTCGGCCAAATCGACACTCCAACGAGGGAAGCGGCACAGACTCAACTCATCTTGCCAAATCTGCAGTGATCCCCAGTCGCCCCAGTCCGGAGCAGAGCAGAGACAGGTAGGTGGAAGGCACAAAGACGAAATAACACTCAAGAAGTGACAACTAGGAGCTTCGTTCCTTCCCATCTTCGCACTATAGCATGCGAAGACTGCACCTCAACGGCACAGCAAAGAAGACAACTGAAGGAAGTTGAAACGAAACAGCTGTTTGGAAGGAAAGTGGGAGATGCCATCCACGGGCTCAGCTTCAGGTTCCTTCTGAAGTGCTTCTTCCCCCACGAATGTTTGGGATGCGGGTGCGTGCAGTATGTATCTAGTAGATAGGAAGGTGTACGCCAAAATACCCCACCTAACCCTTGGTGGTAGTACACAAGATAGAGATAGTAGTGTGCGCTCAGATGATTTCATGCTTCGTTCCTTCTTTCCTTCTCCTCCTCTCTCTTTTTTGGTTCTTATTTACTCATTGGCGTTGACCGGTGAGGATAGGTGGGTGGTGCGCGGGGTGATTGGATGGCTAGGTAGATAGTGAGTGGTTTATGGCTGAGGCGGGATGGGTGGTCATTCTGGAGTTGTCATTGTCGTAATGGCAATGGTCGGTCTGGATGGGGGATTGGATATAGGCTAAACCTTACGAACCACGCAAGGTCCCTCACCGGATGGAATGATATGGGAACTGTTAATTTTACGCCTGGGAACTTTTATCTCATCGATGGAAGTTCTATCCGTCTTGGTCTTCATCCAATCCTTCCCACCGTTCTCGGGCTACGACGAAAGAAATAACTTACCCCCACGTAGGAAACGCAACGCAACACATCCTGCCATCAAGGTACACACCATCAGTCATTTGTAACAACGACACCACCATCCATGTAAGCACCATGTTGCATTTTCGGCGCGCTTCTCTTCTCTCTTGTGCAAACTGAGAGGGAAAAAACGCGAACGAAGCAAAGCAAGCAGGACGCAATGACAATGGCATTTAAAAGGACGCGGGCGAGATAAACAAAAGCAGAAGGTCTCATCCGGGTGAGAACAAAAACATTGTGTTCAATGTATTGTTTGTGTTGTCTTGCTTACGGTGATGTGCAGTCGGCTTCGATATCTTCTCTTTTTTTCTTTTTTTCTTTTTTTTTCTTTTTTCTTCATTTTTTCAATGCGGCAGTCAACAAATAAGTCACAAGCGAAGAGAACATAAGGCGATGAACAGTGAGTGTCGTTCTTTAACTTCATTTGATTTGTTAAAATTCTTTCCATCTTTCCTCCTTCACAGGGTATAATCCTTCCTTTCCAGCCATGACAAACCCGGCTCATAGTTCAGTTACATACGTTTTTCCCCCTCCCGCCCACAAATCCGTGGTATCCTTTCCGGTCAGCCATGGGTATGCTACCGCCCTTAAAACTCCATGTGATATGCAAATCCAAATGCCTCCCTAAAATGTGTCCCTCCTCAGAGTGGAACGAAAGAAGAAAATGCAGTCCAAAATGGGTGGAAGGCCACGTAATGCCACTCACTACTCAATTGCAACCCCAGTCCAGAAAGATTGCAAGAGAGCGAAAATGAATCATTGCCCTTTACGAAACCATTCCTCCTCACGTTTCCCTCCATCCATTGATGTTAACCAGTAGTGTGTCGTCGTCATTTTAGTAGAAGTCGATTTTCCTCTCCCCGGGTCTCAATTGCCTCGCGGCAATGTCTAAAAAGAACTCTCGGAGTTCTGGTTGTATAAAAATTGGTAGAAGAAACAGAGAGAAAAAGGCAAAAAAAGAATTGAAAAGGAGGCCGATTCCAGCCACCTAAACAGCTTCAAGTATCGTATGCAGATCGGTTTGGTTTCACTTCCCGCCAGTCAACCAGCCTGGGGAAGAAAGTGAGTGGACTTTTTTTTCTCTTTTTCTTTTAGATAAGCAAGTAATCCCATCCCTTGATCTGCATAACCTCCCGCCAGCGGACGTAATGTGCGTTGACTTGCTGCTGTTGTTGTGGGGTCTCAGAAGATAAAGAAGAAGTGCCCGCGGCCGCCTCCGCCGCCGCGAGGATCGCCTCATACTGAAGCCAGACCTCGCGAAGGAGGACGGTCATGCGGCCGAAGCTGCCCGAGTTGGCTACGTCGCCGAGCTGGGCGACGCGGTTCTCGAAGAAGTCGCGGAAAGATGAGCCGGGCACGCTGACGGATCCACCGATCAGGTAGACCCAGGTGAGTGAGCGGTCGTACCCGTTGACACCCGAGGGGATCAGCTGGAGAACCGCGGTGAGCTTCTCGACGAGACCCATGCAGCTGGGCTGAGCAGGGTAAAAGCCCGGGACGAGGCTGCAGAGGTAGATGCGAGCAGCAAGACGGAAGGCGGCCGTGATGTTCTTGCTCAGTTGCTTGGGGCTCAGAGTCCCATTGGCGTTGTAAGGCTCGACGAGCGTACCCTCGTTGACCTCGGTGTTGCTGATTTCGTCGCCAAGGCCACGGACGTGCTGGCAAAGTGTGATGTCGTCCATGCCTTGATTCTTCAGCGACTCAAGGCAAGCAATCTCCGAAATGAGATACATAACGCGATCCTCACAGCCCATCAGTTCGCGCAAGCCGAGCGAGTGGTTGTTGATCGAAAGATGTTTGTTACGGTAGGTGTGCGCGAACAAGGGGGAGCTGCCTAGCATCGTGGCGCCCAAAATGTCAATCCAAGACGTAAGCGTCATGTTGAATGGTGTATGTGCCAGTGGCTTGGTGATATCCGAAACAAGTCCGGCAAGATCCAGCTTTTGCACGAGCGATACTACGGCTTGGAAATGCTGGTGCCAGGGAATATCGGGAAGAGTGTCCTCAGGACGGCCAACTATGCACTGGAAGAAGATCAAGCCAAGGGTCGCATCGAGAATTGGCTGGTGGTTCTCATCGCGATTGAGCGCCTCGCATAGCCAGGTGATGGTGGCATAGCGGTGACGCATGATGTCATTGTCAATCTCCTCGTTCTGAATACCCATTGTAGACTTGAAGTGTTGCGCCGCAATGCTCAAGCAGCAGTGCAGGTAACCCTTGTTGTTGGCCAGTGATGGGAGAACAAGCTCGGAACTGATTGAGCCATGCTGGTTTGATTCCAAAATTGGGAAAATGGTTGGGAGAACGTGTTGAACAAAGTGATCGAGGAGCTTCTGATCGCCGTCATCCAGCTCAATTGCCACTTGTGAAGAAGCCATGGCCGGATCGCAGGCAAAGTCAAAGAAGTTCGCATTGAAAGTCTCCTCCGTCAACGACTCCCTCCGCTCCGAAAACACCTGCTCGGTCCATTCACCTTCCAGAGGGAATGACGGGAGAATTGTGCCCGGAGGCGGCGGAGTCTGATATGTGCTGAAGGTTGATACTGTCGATTCGCGAAGGGTTGGGATATCGTTGATGAAGATTTGCCGCTCTGTCTTCATATCGATCTCATAGGGAGAGAAGGGTGGGAACATGTACTCGCCATTGACGTGTATTTGTGGTGTCGCAAATGCCGCGAAATCCTGGCCGTGCTGGGGGCTATTAAAGTTGAAGCCAAAATGCGAGTCGATGGAAGCAGACCTGTTGCGATCAAGCGGGTCTGAAAAGGTCGCCGACGTCGGGAGCGAGTGCGAGAGTCCAGGTGGAGTGTTGATTGAGGTCTGGATGGTGTGCGACGACTTCTCCGAAAGCTTCTTCCTCTTGATGATCATCTTGATTTCGTCCTTCTGCTTCCTCCGCGCATCATTGTTGCTCCACCACATTGGCCTCTTGTATTCGCAGCATAGCCCAAGATGCTTGCAAGCTGTGCACATGGGAGAACCCTCATCGCACTTCTTCCTCCTCAACCTGCATGTGTAACATCCTTAACGTCGTCAAGTCAGCTTCCCGGCCCAGCGAAGTCGAAGACGTGTGTAAGTGATGCGATAACGGTGCTGGAGAAGGAAAAAAAGGGAAACAAACCTGTCCTTGAGCGGCGATGCATCTGTGTCTTTTGCTTGGGCGCGGCATTGGTGCCTGCCTTTGCGGCCGCCTTGGTCTTGGTTGATGTTGTTGTGGTCGTCATGTTGACTGAGGATGTCTTCGTGATGTCTTCGTGGTGGTTGGGGGACTGTGTCGACATTTGTACCCTTCTTGTATGGGAAGTACCTCTTTGGAGAGGAGTTATGGAGCACAGCACCGGGACCCGGGGGGGTGGATGGTGGGGGGTGCTAGCGGAGAGGGGGTGGTCGGGAGCAGGGGTGGTGAACTTCAGCTAGGCCGAGGAAAATGGGCAGAAATGGCCAGGGCCTCTCTATCCTCTCGTCGGTCCAGAAGGTCCCAGGGGCAAATCGCTAGGGGGCTTATACCCAAAAGCTCTCTCTTGTATCAGATTATTAAATTACTTGTATCGTCGAATGAAAGACTGAATCGTGAGCAAGGCCGGCTTGCGTGTGAACTGGGATCGGAAGTTGGCTCGATGGTGAACTTCGAGAGACGTAAGACTGGGTAGCGTGAGGTTGAGTGTAATTAAAGGAGAGAGGGAAAAGATTTGTTGACTGGACTGGACTGGACGACACCTGGAGCTCACTATCCTTCTCTTCAATCTTGGCCTGCAGATGAGAAGACCAAACTGGAACGTCGAGAGAGAAGTGGGCAAATTCTTATATCAGGCCGGCCGATGGGTCAGCGTGTGGTGCAAAGCCATGCTCCGATCGTGATTGCTCCCATGTTCTATTTTTGAAAAGCGGGCTAAATAACTGCTTTACCCGATTTGACCCCCTAGCTGCGTTAGTTGGTGCCCTACTGTACTGCGGTGGTATTCGACGGTGGATGGGTGGTACCTACGGAAGCACGCTGGTCCATGGCAACACAGGCTCACGCACACAATCTCACAGGCACACAGGGCTGCTGCTGGCCTGCTGCTGTCCTCACGAGGTCTCGGTTCTTCTTTTCCTCTTTGGACAGGGGAGGCCAAGAAATCTCGCCCATTGGTGATGGCGGTCGCCCGGAAGGTCTCACTCGGATGTGGGAGGGGAGCAGGATGACCCAACAGGACCCCACCGCTGATGGTATTCAGGCCAAGGGGGGAGAGAGGAAGGGCAAGGGGTACGGATGAGAGCAAGTGTCGTGTAACTAGCTGCGTGCAAGGGTAACATTAACACTAGAGGCAGGGCATGGGGAGGTAGTGACAAGGTATCTCGTCCAGGGTACCGAGGCCCTCACGGAAAAAGATGGCTGCAGGGGAAAGTGAAGAAGCTGTTGAGCAACCAAAACGGCAGCTCATGCGTGCTTGAGGACGACTTGGCCGGGAGCTCATTGGCACGGGGATCAGAATGAGTGCAGAAAGAAGGAAGCTCACTGTACCAGCAAGATACATGGATAAAATTCGGGCAAAATGCTGGGGAGCCAACATTGAGACAGACATGCTTGACTCTGGCAACTCCCGCGAAACTAGGCAAAGCAAAGGGTCCGCTGATCGCCAGACCTGTGACTCTGAATCCCTTTTTTGTTTTGTTTTTCTTTTGTTTTTGATCTTAGGTGAGTTTTCAGTTGTCAGCCAAAGGCCGTTATGTCGACGAAATTTGCCATGTATCCGTTGTGGGTGGGCTTTTTTGTGAAGAGCCAACAGATTCGCCGCTTGGCCTGGGGATAGGGGCAGCTGAGAGACTGACGGACAAAAAGACGAATGAACTCGTCAAGACCAACAGGGTTTGGTTATCAGAGATGTGATGGACAGTTGGAAGCGAAGAATGACATGCCCGCAACCAAGAAAGCGAGCACAAGAATTCGTCGAGGCAAGGTGGTATCATGGCTGACTGACGGGACAGTGCAGTGGTTGTCCCGCAATGCGCAATTGTGTCTAGCCTCCTCCACACACCCACCCATCGTTGCTGTTGACTTTTTGCAACCCAACCTTTCCCCTGGGGACGTCGAATGGCTGCATGCGCATTAATCCAGCATGACACCAAATCCATGCCATGTCTAGTGTAGAGGAGCCTCCGGAGCTCTTCCTCAGAAGACGGCTTTTTCGCGTCCGTTCCCGAGTGCTAGGACTACCGGGATGACGGGTCGCATGCTGGCCCGTATCCGGATCACATACAGAGATGCGGTCCCGGTGATGATGATGTCTGCGCGAGAGACATGGTCCAGAAGAAGGAAAAGCGAAAACCATCGCATCGCAATAATTCTCCGTCTTGGATTTTCAATCTTGCAACCTCGATGGACGAGCGTCGGCTTTCGGGTTGTGGGAGGCCTTGGGCCTTGGGGCTTTGGGGCCCTGGACTCTTGGAAGCCCGGATCCATCTCTGGGGCTAGGACTGCTTGGTGTTAGGGCATAGTGAGGCCCATATCACCACCTATCGTCCACTTATCGCGTGCCGTCGTCGGCGGCCTGCCGATACATCACTTGGATACTCCCTGCTTAGGGGCGAGATGGGGATTTCAGGAGAAGCCTCCGGATGAGCATTTTTGGCGAGTCTGCCCGGGTGTTGAGATGTCAAATCTGAAGAGCCCGCAAATCATCAGGGTCAGTCGGGGGACGGCCTTTGGATTGGCCGCCTAGCTCTCCAGTCCAGAACTGGCGTCTGATGAACCTCGCTGCAAGGCAAACATCCACCCAAGGAGAGCATGAGAACTGACCGCCTTGAAAGAGCACCCCAAATGTACCTGCTCGCGGTTGGGTGTTAGCGAGACACTTGTCTGCTGTGCTTTAAAGTGCGGTCGCGACGAGTAGACGGGTACCGAGGCAGAGACCGCGATACCTGGACGGTCAGAGACCGGGGTGCTCTCGGTGGTGGTGGACAGTCAAAGGAGTCTGTTGAATGACAGAAGAGAGAAAAAAGATTTTCAAGAGGGCCGATAACGACCATGATCCGACCATCAGTGTGACGACTTTTGCCTAGTACAGCCCTGGCGCAGATGTACTATGCAGTAGTGCAGAATGGCTGCGGCCCGCGAGGCGGCATTCAGCTGAGATTGGCCCGTTCAACGAGATCGACTGGGATCTTGAGCATGGGTGCGGCAGGCATTGATCGAAGCTTCCTCCAATCACCACTGAAATGTGCAAGGGCAGGTTCGATGGGGTGCAGCGATGGAGTCGGCAGGGGTGGTGGAGTAGTGGAGATAGTGGACCGCTCTTGCCGTCGCGGGGTCTACACTCTTTTTCCGAAGTACGTACCAGGACCCTTGTGTCTTCCATCCTGGACCTTGTCATCGACTCGACTCTCCTCGAAACTACACATGTGGTGTAGGTAAGAATTTGCTCGACTTTTGCCCGCTCCTTCTTCTTGGCGTCAAAAAAACTCCTTGCTTCTTGAACTGTGGCATGACCTTGTGGCCTCCAACTCTCGAACCACTGCAGCCTTGCTTCTTTGCTTGTCGAACGACTCGACACGTACCTAGCGATGAGGACAGAGGATGACAACCTTACCTACCTACCTACCTACCTACGGTATCGAGCCGGGAAGTCGGTCAGAATACCGGCCTTCGCGTGCTACTTCAATATGACCCGAGTTCCAGGAATGCCTCCCTGCTCTCCCACGGCTGGTGATGGCATCATACCTACATGGCGTGGCTCGCGGCCATCAGACAAGCTGGGAACAGTAAGTGGGCTAATTAGCCGCTCAGCTTCCCTTTTCGGACAAGTTGATCCTCCTACTGCGTATTGCTTGACAGCACCAGCAGGATCCTCTGCCGTAGGCCCCCAACAGTTCCACAGCCAGGTGTGATGGATTTTTCCCTCATTGCACTTATGGGCTAATTTTGGGCCCATCCTGCAAGACATCACAAGTGGTACTTCTGGCTCCGTTATCGTCCCCGCTCTTCTAGCTGCTGCATGCAAGTATTTAGTCCTTTTACTATTTTTACCCTGTCCATCAGCACCTGTTCCTCCGCACCTCATAGTGTACATACACTAGTTCTCCCATTTGGGAATCTCGCCGATCAAGACAATTAACCCGCTCACCAGTCCTTGCCCACATCCACCAAACTGAGCCCCACGTTCGCTTCCGCATCACATCGGGGGCTGACAGTCGACCTTCGGGAATACTATGAGACTATGCTGACATCCCCACCAGTGATTTGCACGCACCAAGGCTTTTAGGTGCAGCGCATTTCTACAACATCGTGGTGTACTTAGCTTGGCTTCCATCCTTGAAGCATTATCGACGATCATAAACGATTCAGTTGCAAGGACATCTTACTGCTGACGCCGTCAATGTTTGTTTACTCCTCGCATTTCAAACACGGTGCATTGTCGCGGCAATCACGGCATCACGACACTCATTTTGAGATATGACGTCCGTCTGGAGTTGAGTGATGTTCTGGGCTTGCGAGGCGCACGGAGCTCATAACCAAAACAGCAAGGTCACGATGTGATATCACATCTTCATTTCGCTCACCTTCTCCCTTGCGGGGTTAGTGTCATATTCTGGCCGCGCTCATCAGCGGAAAGGACCGTTTATTAGTACGTTGTAGCTCGCGGAGGCGGATATGGGGTTATTTTGTGGTGTTTTTTCAGATTCACCGCGAGATCCGTACCCAGGCCAGCCGGTGCACATGTGGTGTACAATGTGCGTCGAAGGAGCCGAAATTTCCGGCATCACACTTTGTCACGAATCGATAATGGCCTTTTCAGATATCAGAACAACACATCATGACGGTGAGCATTGCAATCAGGGGGACACTGGTCAAACTCACAGTGGATGAGCAATAGTTACGCCAAGAGTCTGTCGCTGATCGATCTTCAATTGCGCCGTTTTACACAACAGTGCAGATGTCTCTGCCAAAAGTCTTGCAGTCAAGCTCACGGGGATTTCCTTTCACGACGGGAATAATTCCTCCTGGAAAGAGCCAATCAGAGGAGTATGTAAAGATCTGATAGTCGTGATCAAGACTTGTGAGGGGACCTTTCCTGAAACGGACTCACGGGACTACGGGAAGTTAACCGCATCCCGCAAACCCTCAATGTGGCCCCTGTCAGCGTGGAGATCCTTATGAGAAAAAAGAAAAGAGAAACAGAAAAAGAGATAGAGCGAAAAAAAAATAAGAAAAGAAAGAGAAAGAGAAAGAAAAGAATAAGAAAAGTAAAACAAAACCAAGATGTTGGCGGTCTTGTGCGATGATCGTACACAAGTTGATCGAAGGCGAGGACGATATCCGTTGATGACATAAGTCCCTCCGCCATCAAGCGAGATGACAGAGCGAAAAAGTAAGTCTCTCGACGGCCTCTAGAATTTGATGACACGGGGCCAGAAAATCAACATCTCAGAACAACTAGCTAACGCCAAGATCCAACGGTTTTCTTCGAAAGGTGGTCAACACGAAATTGGCATAACAGGATGGGTTGGACAAGCTGTAGGTTGTCTTGATATCTTTCCCTTTTTGGAGTCGAGGTCAGTCATTGACCAACCACCTCATTGGATCCTTCAAAGCCAACCTTTTCACCTGTCTCTTTTACCCCCCCCTCTCTCTCCGCACCTTTTTGTCCCTCCCCGGCCATATTTCATCAAATTGTCTTGGGCCTCGGTCAGCCTACCAAGCCAGGTCAGTTGGAGAGGAGCTCGGCAATTAGTGAACTGGCCACTACAAAGCCCGATCAGTGTTCGTACGTCGAGGAGCGAGAGATTTCATTTGCACCGCGCAAATTTGCCTCTGCAATCTCGCGCAGTGACTGACACGAAAGATCGATGATTGCGGGGACACGGTCTCATCGATCACATACTTGCAAGGGCATTCTTCAGTAACAGACTTTCCAGCAACAGAGCCTAAATGTGAGCAGTCCGGGTTTTTCTCGAATGTGATTGCAAGCCCACGCAACACTTTTGTTTGCGCTGCTTGATTTCCTATGGCGTAATTTGCTTTCGACGGAGTGCACCTGAAAGCTGAAGTGAACAACATATGAGATCCACACAATATCACATAAAATCAGCAACCCAATACTACCTCAAACAACGCGAACTACCCCACAATCCGCGAGGAGAAATGGAATCCAACGAGACTTGCCGGAGAGAGGGGACAACCCTCGCTTTGTTCTGCGCAAACCTAGGTCACACACAACAGTCCATGGACTCATTAGTCCCCGAATACGGATCCCTATCTCTATCCTTGGTGATGCCACTTCCCGTGGTGTCGCACATTCACAAGCAAACCGGCCACTCACAGTCTCAGTTCCCGGACCCCGGACCAAAAGCTCTCTAGGATTTCTGGTGGCCCCGACGAATCTGCGAACAGGGTGGCCGCTTTTGCGGTTGCAGAAGGAAGGTCCGCCTCTTTTCGAGGATCCAAATCCTTGTGGGCGTTGCGTTGTAATGGCAAAGAAGAAGGTTGCAGTCACGTTCATGAAGGAGCCCAGTTGGCTGCAACCACTATCCACAACGCTTTCCCACAACGGACTGGACAACTGTGTCTAACAGACGCCTAAACTCAAATTCGCCCCTTTCTCTTCTGTTTCTCTGTCTCCTCACATTCTCTGCGGCCTGTTCACTTGGAGGCGGCCGCATAGCGTGGATGTCATGTGAAATCGAAGGCTCACACCATTGCTTCCTCGGAAAGTGATTGGTGGGATGGGAGGGAGGATTGAAATCTGATATTTTCCTGGTGGGTAGGATCGGTTGGACATTCACACAGGCGCACAGGCTTCCAGAGGCGAAAAGACCCACGAGAATGCAGACGAGCTTTAACACAGAGACAAGACAGCTACAGCTAGAAGAAACATTACACCCGCGCCGCGGGGCCGGAAGCTATGGTACTTGTTACTAATGACTGCCAACCTAGACGAAGAGAGATGCCACATGAGCGACACGAGCGACTTTAAACGGGAAGCACACCCGGGGTTGCACCAGCACAGGAGCAGGAGCATCAGCAAGAAAGACCTTGATGATGCGCTGATAAAATACCACGGCTAATGGGATGGCTATGAACTATTTACTCGACCCAACTCCTGTACACCATCCAAAACATCAAGACCCAACCAAAGAGCAGAATCAACTCTCTTCGCTTATAACATCCTGTTCGTAGGTAGCAGCAGATGAAGGTAGGGGGCATCTTTCAACAACAACACTAAAATCTGAGATCTAACAGATCCCTTCGTGTCATGTATACCTTGTGTGATGAACTGCACAACCAATTTGCCCTACTCACTGGAACGCCCAAATCTTCAGCCACTATCATCCATTCATTGCCAACCACCACATAAAGCATATAAGCAGAGAGACGGGTCTCCCGCCCCTTCTCCGTGTTCGGCTGAGGAATGCGAGAATGTGAGTGATACTGCATAGGATGGGGGTCGTTCTCATTTACACCGTTGAGAGATCTCCAGAAAGTACAAGTAACCTATCAGAGCAACCACTTTATTTCTTACGCACGCAAGCTCGCCCACTTTCCACACACCCACACACATACATACACACACACGCACTCGCTGCAGTGCACAATGTAATGCGAAATTGTTCTCGACGCAGGAACGTTGAGGGACATCTTACTTGACCATCTCGACAAGACCTCATTGGTTGATCTCGATGAGATGTGAAGATGCTGTGTTAAGGTAGGTAGGCAGGTTGGGTTAAGAAATAAATTATGATACCCGTACCTTGCGTGAAACAGACATACATACCTACACCATGTCCAACCTCGACGCAATATCATCCGTCACATCACGCCTTTTTTCACACCGGCCAGGTCACTTTATCACGGTGTTATTTTTTTTTCACGTAAATGATGAATTCAGACATCATATCTTTGTCTTCTTGCAGGCGTGTGCAAGACAGATTGGACGAATGGATCGATGCAATCCGGGCGACATTTTCTGTCTGCTTGAACATGATTCCCTTACAGATACGGGAGAGTAATGCATGCAAGCAAGTTCCTTAAATATTTTTCCTTGTCACTACTACTTCTTCTACTTCCACTCTGTGCTGTGGGCGGAAACATGTGCACATACTCGTCTACCTCACACCGATGCTTTTACCTCTTTTACAATTGAAATTGTCGAGGAGAAGTGTGATGGATGATCGATCATGATTTTGTCTCATTTTCTCAACAGTACAATAGTAAGTGGTGATAAGGATAGCACGAGAAAAAAAAAACAATCATCTTCGGGTAGTTACTTCAATTTCAAGACATGGAAGTCGAGATATCTTTGTGAAGCAATCGGTCTCACCACATGAAAGCTCTAGAATTTCGTTTCTTCATACTTGCAGCATAGCAACGCCGCAGCACTGCATACGGCAAGCTGCCCGTTGCCGTCTCTGCATCTGCACTCTCTATATAAATGCATCTACATAAGTGGTCGGGTCAAGTTATTCCTGCGTTTCACAAAATACTTACCACACCTCAACCTCTACCGCTTTAAAAGGGTTGCGTCTTCAACGAGACTCACTTCACTGTTGAGAGGCAAGCAAGCAAGCAAGCAAGCAAGGTCCTACCCAGCATATATCCTGGAATTCAAAACCCAAAAAGAATGCGAATAAGTACCTCGTACCACGGATACCTACAGCTTCCATCCATGTCCTGAGTCCTCTAAACCCGCATCGGCCCGTCCTGGAAACAACAATGCGCATGGTTTTATAGTGTAGTGGCTTGTACTACCTACACACCTCTTCACTGGTACTTGAAGGCTTCTAAAGCCTGATAGGTCAATTCCAGCTCGCACGACATGGAAGGGTTCAGTTGAACACTTAATGGAAGAGAAGACATGTGGTGGTTGATGTTCCTTCCCGAGACACGGACCACTTTTTGAGAAGGTTGTGGCTTACAGTTGCAGTTGCAGTTGCAATCGCAGTTGCTGTGTGTCTTGGGCTTGGGGGGGAACAATTGAGTTGTCAGTCAAGACATTGAAACATGTCGCCGTCGTCGTGAATTGCGAGGTTGGCTGGTTGTAGTTCTCGAATGTGTCCGAGCGTCGATGAGACAAGGCGGACGGACAATGGGGATGGAAGAGGCCGAAGACGGACAGACAAGGAGCCACATGTTCATCCCAACCATTTTTTCTTGTTTCTTTTTTTTTTTTTCTTCGTCTCGCCTCTGATTTGACTTGGCCGATATCCGGACGGAAGGGATGGGATGCTTGCTTTATCTTTGCGCTTTCCGTCTTGTCTTGTCCTTGTCGCGCGAAAACGTCATGTTCGTGCACCACAGGATACAATGGAAGTTTTAGCGGATAGCTCCTGCTTTCTCTTGACTTACTTTACCCCGCACATTAACGACGACCCTATTCATGCTCAACTCCCGGCATGATCCCATAACCCATCAAGAATTCCCAGTCCGACCACGACCTGGATTGTAATGGAAGCCAAAGAGTCGGTGTGTGTTTTGCCTCCGTGTTCCCAGCTGCTGTTCTCCGTTGCACAGCTTCTGCTTCGAGAAAAGAAAAAAGATGGTGTTTTTTTTCTTTTTTTTTTTTTTTTTCTTTTCTTTTCTTTCTCTGGTGGAAAAGGTATGTAAAGCCCAAAAAGAAATGTCGACGGGAGTTACCCCCGCGCGTGAATGCGTCACGATGCAGACTTTGGGTCTTCGTCTCCTACGCTGCAGGGCCTGTACGTATACAACGTGGACGCTTATGCTGTACTAGGCCGCCTGCTGGGCGACCACAGTTTTAGTGGCCCGGAGGTGTTGATTAAAGAGGTAGCCATTGAAGCTAAAGTCAGGGGCGAGGTGCACCGCATTGCCTTGCACCATTCACAACGGGACCATCCACTTCCCCGTATTGCCGGGCAGTGGAAGATATACCCGGCGTCATCGGATTTGCCTTCACGATGAACAGAAAACAACAAAGCAAAATTTTCTCTGTACGACTCGCGATCCAGAACGTATAACTTGTTAAACTTCTATAGTGTCCATGTTGTGGCTTGTTGTAGTTGGGTGTAGGTAGGTACGTGAAAGACACGGGAACATGCTTAGGCCGCCTGCTGAAGAGAGAGCTTTCTCGTACCAAGCAACGATATCATTGGCTTGCGGGCCCCACCTAGTGCGAGGCAAGGAAGTAGTATACTGCGTAGGGTAGCCTGATCCTACTGTGATGCCTCCTTGTCTATTCAAATTTTTCTTTTTCTCATCTTCCTTGGCTTTTTTTTTTCTGGTGATGAAGAAAGAAAACTTTTTGTTCATAGAAACAGCAATGGCGGTCAAGAGCCCCGATGGCCATCGTATGACGCCGGTCATCCTTCCGAGGTCAGTGGTCTCGGACAAGGGCATGACTTGTGAGGCTGTTGGTGCCCTGGCAAGTCCCTGGCAGTGCGCGGCGCGCGGGGCTGGAGCTAGGCAGAACTAGATGATGGACGGGGCTAGGGCTGTGACACAGTTCAGGGCTCCCCTGGACCCTGCCCTCGCTGCCGTATTCTGCCCTGTGCCTGTGTTGAGTCAATAATGCATTATAGCAGCTACTGTAGCTAAGTAGTGTAGCTTCATGCTCCTAGGACGACAGGATAAGGACCCTGGTATTTCGTGATCTACAAAACAAGAACGGGGATTTCGTTGATATTGGGCAGCAGAACGTTTCCGACGCCTGGCTGTACAAAAGTGCAACAAGTAGGGGAAGAAAAAAAAAAGTAGAGGAAGATGGTTAGCATCTGTGGTTAATGCTCTTAAAATCGACTGGCCTTGAAGCCCGGTGAAGCTATGCCCATGATTTGCCGGTATGCAAGCTTTACCATCTCGCGTCGATATCGGAACTTCTTCCCTGGCCTTTGGTGTTGAGCAAAGCAGGATTCAGAGAAGCCGCAAACCGCGGCACATGACCTCCGCCTTGTCTATCGCCCTGGATTCAGCACAGACGGATAGCGGCTTTGCGGTTTTGGGCTTCCACGAGATGTTGATCGGGTTGCGACACGCTTGGCGACGGACTATGGCATGAGGGGAGTTGGAATCGTGTTGAGGCATGACTCTTCTGCACGCAGGCAACAGAATTGTAGCACACCGCAACATGCCTGTGGCCACTACGGTGGAACGTGGAGCATGGCCGGTCCCGAACAAGAGATTGTTGGAGTCTTGCTGCTATCGACTTTCGAGGTCTTGGGCCGTGAGGCCTGCCAAACTGGCCAATCTGTTCGCTGTCAGTCAACGGGAACCTGAAACTCGGGTTTATTGGTTTGTTCAATCTTGCACATGTCATGTGTTCTCTGCTCTCTGCCCTGCGTGTCATTCTTCTTGTGTTGCTTCACCAAGCCATTGGGTGAGAGCGAGAAGCAATGAATGCAGGAACAGGCTAGAGCATGCCAGGCTATCGGGGCAAATTGTCCTGATAGGGACAAGCGCCGTCTGTGAGCTGATGTTTGCCCACGACGCGGTAAAAGGCAGGCGAACCGTTTCTGTGGAGTAGCTGAAGCGTTGTCCCCACAACTGCCCTGGTCCCGGTCGGCCCCCGGTTTGCTGAAGAGGATCTCTCACCCGGAATGGCAATGTCAGCGATGAGACGGTGTTCGACAGGGGGCCGGGCCGGGTAGCTGATGGCCAGAAAATCCTTGAAGCGTAGTGTAATGACCGAAGTCTGACACTGGAGAGTAGCCGGAGATGGAGATCCCCTCATCACCTCAGTCCGGGGGCCGGTCCGTCCCATGATGGCCAATCTGCATCTTTTCTTCTGTTGGTGAGCGAGATGGACACCGATAGATCAACGGCACGCACGGGTGGTCCGCTGCTTCAGGATTGCTGATCGTTGTGCCTAATAACCTACGTAACCGTCAAAGAGTGTCTAAGACGTGCCCAAGGTTATCTCGAAAGAGCAATTTCGCACAGGCTCGAATCGGAACGATGTCGCCAATCGATCCGCGAACGAACAGGAATGCGATGCGAGAGAGGAGAAAAAAGAAGAAAAAAAAGGAAAGAAAAAAGGAGTCAAATCGAAATGAAAACCAAAACTCCACCAAGTGTCAACGGGAGGGAGCACAGGACTGTTAATCGCGTCCTCTCAGCTTCCACTTCAACCCCACGGGTCTGATAAGCCCTATCAGAGTCGGCAATTCGAGAGGAGTACAGATGACGATAACTTGCCTTATGTGGAAGATAAGACATGTATTCTACACTACCTATGTAGTGTATCACCTTTGAAACTCTCGTCGTGTTCGGTAAACCCAAGTCCGTCCCGCCATCGTCAACATTTTGAAGACTTTTTGAATACGATTGGGCATTGAACGGAAAGCCATGAACTGATGAACCCGGCTCCGCTCGATTCGTAAACGTCAAGAAATCGCGGGGGCATTATCATCCCAAGCCACACTCGCAGCACAGCACTGAGCACACTGGTACAACTGCACATGCTGCAGGAACAACCATACAACACTTTCGCAGTAAGTGGCTGCAACTATCATCATGCACCTGTTGCCCGGAAGACTGGAAAGTTTTTCTGTTTTGGGCGGGACGGAACAGAATGGCAGTTGGAAATAAGGGCGACTCGGGGAGAAACGGGCACTGCAAGTCTGGTCGACTCCGCTTCTGGAGCTGTGGAGACCTTGAATTCAAGGTTATGAGTGGATGGCGGAGACAGGACGTTGAAGGTGGGCTGGTGGATCAGAGCAGATCGGCACGGCCCACTCGCGCCTAGGGTTAGGTCCAGGGTCCTGTGTCCAAAAGAACAAGTATCGATTCTGAGGACAAGAAAGACCAAAGCAATGGCGCAAAATGGCACATTGGGCGCTTAGCATTGACTATTCTAGGCATTTCTTAGCCTCAGCAGCCAATCAGCCACCAGAAGTGCCCTATTAATGTGCTTGCATGACAAAATTTTTGACCCAATCGCGTGTTAGACCGTCGCGGTTGCCCCGCTTTCCAGTCTTCCTCCTCTTCCACTTGTCACTTCCATGTCGTGACTCTGCAGTTAGGTTCCATTTCCATCCTTTCGCACAACTCGACCTTCCACTTGCTGTTCCGCCGTTTACACGGAAAAAACAACCAACCACGCAAGAAGCTGAACGAACCCCAGGCCAACCACCACGGCCGCCTCAATCTCCAGCACCTCATGGCACCCTTCTGGCGTGCTCCATGCTGGCTTGACACGCATCTCGCACCTATACCACCCAAGGCCCTGCTAATTTTATCCTCATAGCTCGTCCTGGCCAAAAGCCACTCTGCATCACTGGATACGCATCCGAATGCACACCATCGAGGCCACTTGCTAGGCCACCATGCCATGATGAAGGACACCCATCCATGCCATCGAGGACACCATCCGGGCTTGACATGCGCTACTGACGGTACCTAGACCCTTGAACCATGCCCTCAGGCTTATGGGCCGGGGGGGCCATACCTCTTCGTAGCGGCCCGGGAGACCATACCCTTCTCGCCGAGCAACGGCGAGAGTGTGACCGAGAGTCTTTTTCTTTCTTCCTCTCTACACTATCTATCTCTCCCGTCTCTCTCTCTTTCTGTGTGTGTGCTACGGCCTGGAAAAGATCCGAGTCCAGACGGTATATTTGCTGCACTGTGCTTGTCACCGGTGACTGCTGCCACTGTCACTGTCCTCAACATCAAATCCATCCATGAGCCGATCTGGTTCTGTTGCTGCAATTCATCCCATATCATATCACATCTCATCCCGTCTCGTTTTTCACCTATCCCAACAGGGGCACCCCTAGTTTACCTTTTACTCACACCCAGACATCGATTGGAGACCAGTGTCTTCTGGCCCGTGGCTTACATAGATAGGTACTATACCTGCACCGCACCGCTGAGGTTACCTCGTTACCCTCCTCCTTAGCTTGAAGCGCTTGCCGACATCGCGGGTTGACCATCGATTCGCCCTACATAACTCTCTGTCGCTGTCCGTCGACGTCTCACAGTCGACCTTCCTCCTGGTTCGGCTTCTTTCACTGTGACCACGCGGGTTATACCACAAGTCACATGTTCAATCCATCATAAATCTACCCGGTTCAGCGCATCCTCCAGCGCAGCGTAGCGATATTGAGGATACAAAGATCGGCACTGCCGGCAGCCGCCAAAGAAAAAAAGAAAGAAAAAAACAAAAACCAAAAAGAAAAAAGAAGAACCAACAAATAGTGGCTGCAAGCCGCCATTGATATATACCCCTCGCCTGTGTCACCCTGAGACCCATAGGGGATATCTCAACCACCATGACTGCCAACATGGTAAGCAATATCAACATGTCCTTGGGATCAGCGACGCAGAGTGCTCACCATATACTACAGGATAACCTACACTATGTGCGGGAACATGACCGCCACGATGAAATGCGCCAAAAGACCGGCTCTCGGGTTGAGAGCTTCTTCTCCATCAACAATGTCAAGGACAGGCCAAACTCAGTATACACCGAATTCATGGAGTCAGACTGGGAGATGGAGGAGGACGATATCTACAGCGATATGGAGGATCTGGCTCATGATGACGAGATCTCACCTCGCAACAGTATCGGTTCAGTAAGTCACTTGCACCTATTGCAAGTCCGTGATATGGACCGCTAACAAAGACCAAAGTCGAAGTCGGGCGGTCAACCAAGCTTCACAACAATGTCTTCCTACGATGAGGTCCAAACACCAAGATCGGTGCGCCAAAGAGGAGGGTTCCCGTTTCCGTTTGAGGAGATGAAGCAAGTGGAAGGTCCTAGGGGACCTCATCTTTTTCGCAGCTCCATATCCCTGCATTCCGTCGAATATCAAAACGCCCTATCCCTATCGCCGATTACGGAACGGAAGGCCCAAGAACATGACCATTTTCTGCAACATACCGTTCATCTTACGACCCTTCCAACTAGGAGCAAGCGCGACTCCGGGCCCTTCCGATTCACCGATGTCGAACTCGACCCACGAACCCTTCCAGAATGGACTCCTGAAATGGTTGCCCAATGGATGTTCAACGCCGGTGTGGAGCTTAATACCTGTGAGAGATTTGTGGAGAACGATATCACAGGGTCCATCTTAATCACCCTAAAGTTTGAGGATCTGAAAGAGCTTGGAATCACCTCGTTTGGGATGCGAACAAGGGTCTGGCATGAAATCCACTCCATGAGGAACATCCAGAAGCCGGACCCTCAGCCCGAAACTCCGATTGAGGATGAGCCTGACCGCAAGGTTGAGAGAGAGCTGCGGAGAAACGAAAGCGTGAATAAGCCCAAGAGGAAGGCGAGCAAAGTGAGGCCAAAGATCAATGATGTGATTTCTCCTCTCGAGTCAGTCTCCATTGTAGGCATTGAGCAGCTCATGCCCAAGCCTCACAGCTGCTCCAAGGGTGAGAACTGCGCCAAGTGGAAGCGGAACCAAAAGATGATTGAGGCGTTCAAGAAGGACCACCCATTTGTCAACATTGACGAAGGCGGTATCATTATGGTTGCGGGAAATCCCGGGAACCCGCAGACGGCTGAGGCTATCGACCCCTTTCGTCCTGTCTCGGACGCCATCCCGTCGGTTGTGGCATCCTCAGACGTTATGGGACCTGGAGATCAACCAACTCTACAGTATCTCCAGGAAGCCACTCTGCGAAATGTCATGTCGCGGGATCCCCAAGACAACGTTCGCCAATTTCTTGACTTCCAGAACCACCATGCGGTCGGCTCGAGCGAGGTTCCCCCAACACCGCCGTTCGAGCTATATCCCCAGCAGCAAGCTCAAGGTCCTCATGCGAGATTACGTGCTCTTCCTAAGCTGGCCATCCCTAACGAAGGGGGCGCTGTTGCTGGACCTGTCTCTGCTCGTGTAACCTCTGCTCGTCGTCAGTCGCAGGTAATCCCTTCGTTTCGTGAGATGAGCGATCAATCTGCTTCTTCTGAAGAAGCGACTCCGGTTGGCGTATGCCGCTTCGGTACACCCTTTTCTGAGATGGATGTTCCGGTCACCATGACCTCCATCCCCATCATCTCTCGAGATGTTTCCCAGTCGGTTCCGCCTGATATGAATTACCGCCACAATCCTGCCCCTCCTACGCGATCTATGTCTCGAGCCACTATCCGTCGGCCCTCCTTCCCTGTCATGCCTGCGCTGGATGAGAACTCCATCGTCACACCCCTCACTGCCGTGCAACCGCAGAACAAGTCTTTCTCTCGGAGAGCCACCATCCAGACCCAGCGCCCTCTGCAGCCCCCTCCCCGTGTGCAATACCCATGGAGCCAGACCAACCGTACCACCTTTGAGCGCGCCATCGCTCCCATGCCTGGCTCTTCGGCAGTCATTGCCCCAAGCAAGAGTGCTGGCACCAGCCCTACCGAAAGCCATGGAGTCAGCAACAACCCCAGCAGCGGAAGCCGTCTTTCTCCCACCACCACCCAGCCCACGGAAGACATGACAAATGGCGAAGCAGTTTCCTACCAAGGCCTCATGAAGAAGCGCAAAACTAAGATGCTCCGCCACGAGTGGCACGAGCACTACTTCAAGCTCCGTGGCACCCGCCTGACCATGCACAAGGACGCGGCCACGGCCAACAACAAGACGCTCGAGTACATTGACATTGATGACTACGCCATTGCTTGCAGCAGCAACGCCAACACCTCCAAGCTCAACGCCGCCTTCAAGGCCATGCACATCCGCCGCGGCTCCGGCGACGCCCAATCCAAGGAGGACATTGCTGCCTTCAGCTTCCAGTTGATTCCCCAGGACGGTAAGGCTGCCGTCAAAGGGCAGTTGCGCAAGCGGGAGAACAGCGTCCCTGGCCCATCGTCGTCGTCCGCCGCATCGGCTAGCGGGGGCGCTATCCACGGCGCCGTTAACGGCACCGGAAAGATGCACCACTTTGCTGTTAAAAGCAGAGACGAGCGCATTGACTGGATGAGGGAGTTGATGCTGGCCAAGGCGCTCAAGCAGAAGGGCGAGGGCGCCGAGGTTGTTGTCAATGGCAGCATGATTTGAATGCTTTCTTTCTTTCTTTTTCTCTGTTCTCAATGTTATACCCTCTTTTCGTTTTCCTAGGGTGTTTACATCCTGATTTTGGTTTCTAAAAAGCTCCCACCGCAAATCCTCTCGAGGTTCTCTTATTCTACGGATGCCTTGGAAAGAGATGATTGAGATACCTTGGGATACCACTTTATGCCGTTGAATGATTTTTTTATTCCTTTTTTTTTTTTTTTTGGTTTGTTTCTTCGGTTGCATGTCTTCTCTTGAGCAACATTCAACGGCGTTTTATATCCTTTGCGTGTGTTTGTTGTGTTCTCTTGTCTGGAAAGAAGGAACGGGAAAGCGAAGTCTAAAAAGTGGTGAGCATGGTAGATAAAGGTTAGGTTGTGTACTGTCAGTTTGTGATATCAACACGTAGTACCTGATCCGGTGTGTGATTTCAGGAATTGGGGAACGTTGGTTTTACTTTTTACGATTTTACGACGAGTTATGACCCTTCGATACCTCTTGTTTTCTTCTTGTCAAACGTTCACGTTGTCTTTCTTTTCAAGCTATTAGATATGACGCCGTTTTTGGGTAGTGCACGATTCTGACCATCTGGCGACATTTGGTGTGCATTTCCCTCCACGGCATAACAGAAAACCTACATGAAACTACATAGGGAGGGAATCAAGCAGAGACTGGGAAAAGGTGGAGGGAGGAAGAGTTCACCATGGCATGCTGGATCTGGATACAGAAGCATGGCTCTCGGAGAAGCAGATCTAGATTGGAAACTAGCTAGCTGGCTATTAGGTCAATTATGCACACCCCTAATGAGGCAAAATCGAAGAAAAGTTAAATCACAATCACCTTACTTACCTTGCTTACCTTCTCAGACCGCCGTGATCATACGTCTTGATGTTAGTCACATCTGTCTAGGCCTCCAGATCTTCCTTCGTTTTCGAGATAAATGATGCCACTGTTGAGACCCGACAACGCCCGATCAACCACGCTAGGTGAGCCCGAAGAGAACGATAATCTTTCAGTGAGGCAAAAGCAACCTATTATAGCGACCTTCTTTTGCCGTCTCAAGGTCCATCAAAGCTCGCCGTCGGGGAGTTCGCCCGAAAGTGACCTTCTTGCTATACACATTAGCCACCATATTCACCAACCACCTTCAATTCTCGGTGAAGGATCAGCAGATTGCAACTCCCGTTTTACTGTTTCATTAATGTAGACCCCCATCAGGTCTTGAAGAGCCGAGCCCAGACACATCACATGAACAAAAGTGGCTGTGTGTATGTTAATGTGATCTATTAGCGTAGTGCAAGTGATATTTAAACTTGGGCATCTACAACAGGGTGTGTGGGTGCGTAGCAACGAAGCGAGACAAGCAGGCAGTGAGAAAACGTTACTTTAGCCGCCCGAAGCACGCTTCGCGCGTGTAGCAAAAAGACGGGGATTTCCTTGGTATGGATACAGGAGGTGCCCAGGTAAGCAGAAAAGGAAACTCGGCGCTTAGGGGCAGGTGGGACTGCGAGAGGTGTGAGTGGATGTGATGAACGAATGCCAAGAGAGTGTTCGGGTACAGGAGCAGGAGCAGGAGCACTCGGCTTTTGCCTTCCTTCCTTACACCTTACCGTAGGTCCTTCTACCTTTCACTTGATAGGTCGATGAGGGAACGAACTGAATGGACTCGGAACTACCTACCTACCTAGGAACACAAAGATGGAAGGGACGGACTTGGACGCTCTTGCATTTCTCTCCTTCTATTGCCTTACCTTCAAACCCACCCATTCCTTCCACTTTGGGATTCAGTTCGCAGAAGGACAGAAGGATGGTATTAGTACATTAAATCGCCACCATAGTCATGAAATGCTGTCCTGAACACCCAGACACACAGTGAATATAGTGACCACAACCTGCTCAGGGGAAAGAGGCAGCCGGGCCTCAACAACGGGCCGTCCACTCATCCGGGTGGCAATAATACCGTGACGGTCTGGTGGTCAGTTCGACCATCGGCCAAGTCTCCGAAGGAGCGGCGAGATCCGCGAGAAACAGTACAATGTGATAGCTGTCGGTGAGGCAAAAGGATGCATGAATAAAACTGAGGTGAGAACCATCACTTTGGATAGATGAAGTCATTCCAGGCCTCTTGCTGGGCCTCGTTTGGGCCTTAATCACGACCTGTCCACGAACGGTCTCTTCAAGCACAACACAAGAGTCCGATTAGTTGGTCTGCTCAACCTTGTCGTCTCCTTTCTTCCCTTTCTTCACGCTTCTCTATGTGATAGACGTTAATCACGATCAAAATACAACCGCTTAAAGCAAGCTATCGAAAATTGAGGGTGCTAAATAGCGGGAATATCTATCAGCAAGTACATATCTGTGAGCCTACCCTTCACCGTTCTCATGATATTGTTCTTTTTAACAACTTCTATAGCCGAGCAACACGAGGACTTTGAGACCAGTCGGGACTGATAGATAGGTAACTTTGAATTGCTCTATCAATCCGCAACATGGCGGCTTGTTGACTATACCCAACCATCTTGAAGCATCTTCTCATGAATCCCACATTCTGATATTTACCTCGAGTAGAAATTACAGATGATGATATGAGAGACCAGGATTTACAATAGAACCCAACTCATCCCATTCTATAATTTGAATCATCGCACTGTTCAAAGCAAAACCGTCGCGGGTCCCACGCACATCTTTCCGCTGTGTGTCTCCCTCGTAGCAGCGTCAAAGATCTTCCTTCAGCTTGACCTTGGGACTTTCCTCCGGGTTGCCCTACCCCTCTGCAAGGTCCGAAGCGCGTGCCCCAGCGTTTACCATCTCGGTTCTGCTTCAGATGTTTCGGACAGTATTCGTGTCAGCTAATGTCCAGATATTGCTGATCCTTGAGAAAATAAAATATCAAAAATTTAAGAATTGGAAAAGAGAAATGTTGAACAGAATATGTGGCAAGATAGAGCTCACTGCGGGTCAATAGAGAAGGGGATCAATCAGGGCTCCTCGTCATGCAGTCTGTTGGTCAAGTAAGACTGGGTGGCTTTCGCTACACCACGCCTACTTACGCTGCGTTGGGGACGACGGTAGATTGAGCGATCTGTACTGGGACCAGCTAGCAACCAAACAAACCACGATCACAACCCCTTCCACTTGTTTCCGAATCCTTTATTTACTCTACGCAGATTCTTCTCACCGTGGAATATCACTCCCACCTCTGGGTCCAAACATATCTACAAGCTATAAGAGGCTGGAAGAACTCACATCGTCCAAACGCCCCCCTTCCCCTTGCACTTTCAATCGTAACCCAAACCACCTCCTCTTCATCCTCGCCCTTTCCTTTCTCCTTCTTCTGGGCAGCAGTCCTCTCCAAAACAGAGGCAAAAACCAACCCGTTCATCAGCTCCACAAACCCAAACATATTCGTCTTCTGTTATTATCATCCACCTGGGCCTCCCTAACCTTCGGCCACACATATCCCGTCGAAGCGTTAGCAATAACCACGTCAATGGTGTCGATACCATGCTTCTCCTCGAGCTCCTGCACAGCAGCGGCTAGGTCGGCGCGCACGTTCGGTCCGATCTTGACGATGGGCAGGCGTAAAATGAAAGAGATCGAGAGGTGGGGTAGGGAGGGTTGCGGACGGCGGCTATGACGGTTATTGCTGAGACGCTGGAGGTAGGAGGAGAGTAGTAGGAGGCGGCAGCAGAGACGGCGGTTGAAGCCGGTGATGAAGATGGTTATTACGGAGGGAGTGGTGGTGCCTTTTTTGGACTATCAGATGGGTCAAAACCGTTGATGAGTGACGGCGAGATTCAAGTGTCCGGGTTGTTTGACATCTCGTTTTACGTTTATGATTTTGGCGATTGTGTGCTTTGATACCTCGCCATTTTGATTATGGTCTTTCGCAAGAAGTATGTTATCATGACTTGAAGGAAGGAGGCGGTGATGTCATGATCAATGTGCAGAATCAGGTGGAGGTATTGCTAACAACGTCAATGGGCGGAGGGATGATTGATCTTCGGGCGTTTTGGCAGTGATAATTCGGTTTTCTGGAGGTTCCGGAGATTTGGAATATCGAAACAAGTTGGTAACGTGCATATCGTCGAGCGGCTACCGTGAACAAGTCTCGCGACTTCTGAAGATAGTCGAATGGGTAATGTTTTACGATAACATGCCTCAACCCATGGCATCACACAGAGAACGTGACGTACTCGAAGATCCGCCCCATCAATATCGATGTGTGACATTGTGTACGCGCTGTGTAGCCGTCAAACAGTACTATAGCTCCGAACTGTGTCGGATGGTCAAATGCTCCGGGTCATGTCGAGTCTGCACGATACAAGTAGAATCGGAAGAAGGTTAGTGTCCCCGGACCCGTATATGCACCGAGCCAGGTTCCGTGTGGCCCGTGCAAAGCAGCTGTTTCCGCTCCGTCATTCAGGTCGGCAGCCGGCGCTTGGCGAGCGGGCGCTAAGCCTTTTACGCTACACTATTTCTAGTGACGCTCAGTGGAGATCAAGTGACCCCTGAAGGAACCTAACAGTGGATCCCTGCTAGCGTAGCATTGTAGGCGCGGACGGGAAGGATTGTGGACCAACCAAGCTGCATCTTGTCATCTTGACTTTGACAACTCCAAACAACCTAAGCCATCTGCCACTCATTCGCCCACTCATCATTCATCGCCAGGTCGTCGGCGCTTCACGTCAACCAAGCACTTGCTCAAAAGCGAAGCGCTTTGAGACCTTTTTTCACTGCCTTGATCCACACCTTGTCTAGCATCTGGGCTGGGCTTGAGGATCGGAGAGGCCTTGACGATGCCCGGTCACACTCACCCAATCTCAAAATACACCCTGCATCCGCTGACTACACCAGACTGACGAGACTGACTGACCACCATGGCCCCATCGCCGCCCCGTCGTCGCTCCATCGCTCGATCCCCGCATCCATGAATGGCATACCCATCCCGGGGTTACAGATAGCAAGGGCCACATACATATGCCAATCTGCGTGGTACTGTAGACGGGAAGCCTATCGAGGTTCCAGGGCTCACCCATTCGCGCCTGTGGTTCCTTGATGGAATAGCGCCAGGGGCCAATCCAACTTGGGTGAGAAGCGGTTGGAGGAGAGCGTTGCGCTGGTCTCCTCCATTGGGCCAAATGATGCGTTTCCGCTGCTTTCTGCAAGAATTTTTCTTTGTAGTAATCAGACGCATGCTTGCCTGTCCATGTGTCAGTCATCTAGACTATCCAGACACAAGCGGCTTGTGAGCCAGAGGGCCGGCACCCCCGGTTGTCGATATACCCATGATACCTTAACCAAGCCGTTCCTGACTTCCTCTCCCATTTGCCTCAATCTTCTCTTTCCTGATTTTTTGTCCCTTTCGTCGTTTGACTGGTCAACGTCGTTGTCATTTTCTTTGTTTGTCGTGATTCTGGGGTTACGGCTTCTCATCTGCCTCTCAAACGCATTGTCACATCATATCCCAAGTCTTCTGATTCTTCTTTACCTTTGTTTTTCTTTCTCCACGTTGCCGGCCACAAGTGAGACTTCCTACCCAATTTTCGAGCCGTCTCGACTGTAACCGACATAATAGCCGACATCTCCTTCACCCAGTCCACTACTCAGCACGGCCCTGCTCGAGTAGGTATTCACAATGCCGGGGCCGCGGCGACTACTACAACAAGCGAGCTCACTACTACTGGTCGTCGTCGCCTTGAGCGCGACAACAGTCTCAGCCGTACCAGCTAGCCAGCTGTTCCAACGACAGTCAACATCAACATGTGCGGCCGAGGGCTTCTCAAAGTGCCCACAGGCCGGCTTGCCCGATAACTTTTGCTGTCCGACCGACTCGACATGCATTCCTTTGGCCGCAAACACCGCGGCTCTTTGCTGCCCAAATGGACAAGACTGCTCGATGATACAACCGATTTCCTGCGACACTAGCAAGCAGAATCCACTGAAGAACTCTCAAGCAGGCCTCAAGACAAATGTTTTTGATGTGCCTTTGAAGCGGTGTGGTGATAGATGCTGTCCATGGGGTTACTCTTGCAATACCGAAGGTTATTGTCAAAAGGATGCGGATCAGTCAAAGACGCCCCAAGAGATGAATGACAAGCCATCACCAAGCGTAACGACAACAGCAACCCAAGTGCCAATTAGCAGTTCTCAATCCTCCCAGACAACATCCAAATCAATATTCTCTGTGACTGAGCTTCCTGCAGGAACCGACAAGCCAACAGCAACCAATAAGCCGACAGCAACCGACAAGCCTACAGAAACCGGCAAGCCTGCAGCAAGTGGTAACCAGTCAGCAGGGAGTGCAAAGCCGGTGGAAAGCGGAAAGCCCGACCAACAAGATGATGATGATGACGATGATGATGAGGACGGAGGAAGTCCCAATCTCCTCATCGCTGGCGTGGTTGCAGGTGTTGTGGTCTTCATCATCGGTGGCCTGATTACCCTCTACCTCTGCATCCTGAACCGCAGAAACAAAGAATCCGGAGCTGGAGCCAGTCAACACGGCCATGGCGAGAAACCCCGCCTGAACCGATCCACGTCCTCCTTCGGCAACATCATCAGCAACCCCATCGTTGCCGAGGACACCATCCGAACCGACTTCAACCGCTCAGTCTCCGCCCAATCGCACCGCGGCCCTGACTCCGACTTTGCAGCAGTATCAGGCAACGTCAACCCCTTCGATACTCCCCCTCGCGGGTCTCCAAACCACCACAGCCGCAACAACAGCCGGGCCAAAACCCCGTCCGAGGGACAGGACAGCAGCATAGCCTATGGTGGTTACGGACGTAACGTCAGTGGAAACGTTCCCGGCCCATCAGCCTACACCGGCACCAGCATCAGCAGCCGCAACAACTCCCCTCCACCAGCAGCAGGCGGTCGACCCGGCTACAGAACACCACCCATTACCCCCTGGGGCGCAACGAGCGGACAAGAAAGCCCCCGCGAACCTAGCGGAATCAGCATCAACGTGTTCGCTGACCCACGAACATTAACTCCCGAGCGGCTTGCCAAGAGCAATTCCAATGCCAACGCCAACGCCAACAACAGCAACACGTACTCCAAATTCATTAACAACAACACCAATTACACCTATCTTATTAACACCAATACTTACAACACCGATGATTACGACCCCTTCAATCCCGATAACCACCAGGGGCAATCAACCAGACCAGTGACAACCTTCACGGCAATGATGGAGGAGGCCGACTTGGGCGCCGTGGCGAGGGGCGCTAAGTACGTGCCACCTACGCCCAAGACTCCAGCTGGATTGCTAGGACCATCGGTACCGGGGGCGGGTAACATGCCAAATAGGTTCTAGAAGATTTTGCTCGTGAGCGAGCTTGCCTATCCCATGTGTGTGTGTGTGTGTGTGTGTGTGTGTGTGTGTGTGTGTGTTTGTGTGCCTTGCTGGTTTCCTTGCGCGAGTTTGGGGGTCGTCGGTGTCGATGTCGGTGACGGGAGAATATTGGCTGAAAGAGCAATGCAGATGATTGGAAACGAGAGATCTGTTTGGGAACCACGAGGGCATACACATTTCTGTCTATTTTCTTTTTTTCTTTTCACGTTCCTTGTCTGTCTGATTTTGTTCCATCATGTCGAGAGCGAGGCGGTGGGCTGGATCCAACGATTCTTTTTTCGACACGACATCATACTCATCTACATTTCTTTTTGCCCCAATTGTCTTCTTTCCTTGTTCCCTTCGCGAGAACAAAAAAAGGCGTTTTGCGTTGCATTGTGTTGCATTTTTCTTTTTTCCTTTTTTTCCCCTTCCTTTTTCGCATTTTTCGCATTTTTGAAAAGACGGGGAGAAGGGAGGCTTGGATGCGTTGCAGTTTACATAGGGGGAAAGGAATCAGGAGGTGGTGGTGGCAGAGGATGGGATAAAGGATACCATTTTCACACTGGTCTGTGACAAGAGATTTAATTCCCAGGACAAGGACGGAATGATTTTGGACAGAAGGATGACGGAAGGATTGACCGTTATTATCCGAGAGGAAAGGGAGATGGCAAAGTATGAGGGGTGGTGGAGGAGGAGGAGGAGGAGGAGGCTGCAAATTCCAGTATCCCAGCGTCATTGATACCCCGGTAGAATGCATCATCCATTTCTGTATCCAATTAATTCTTTCACGTATCTGATTTACCCCCCGAGCACCTCGATAAGGCTTGGCAATTTCATAACTTTGAGTTATTTCGTATTGAATCTCTCAAATTTGTGCATTGTCATATCTTCAACGTGCACCTCCTTAGATTGTCTTACGAGGTCCTCTTAGAAACTTCCCAGTTCGTATCCTCATTCGAGGCAAGTCTATACACAAAGTGCCCCAAAATGACTAGAACGCCGATACCAAAACCGTACAAATGCTCTCCTCTATGCCCGTCACCTTTATGTGAATCTGCCAAAACATGCGAAAAGGGGTATCATGTCCATATCGCCTACACCATACTCCCCCCTTCCACTCTTTCCAAGAACTGGAAGCGGATGCGAAAAACTGCCGCCTGCTCATTTGTTTCTTAAAGTGCTCTGAAGAGCCGTTGTTGCTACCTGTCCACCATGTGCGTAAAAAATCCCAGCTATCCTTCGGCTGTACCTAGAAGCCTGGGAATACTTTGCGTCGTAATCTCTCCCCTGTGTAGCAAAGATGGTCAATCCGGAGCTCTCAGGGCAACAAAGAACGATCAACTTACAGGCTGGTGCTTGTGACTCCCCGTCGTCGATATCAGATCCGCCAGCCAGTTCCCGCATCCGCTTCCTCCCGAGCACAGGAGGAATACCCCTCTGCGCATTACCATTATTGTTGTTTCCAACTTGTTTTTGTTGCTTTCCGCCCGCGCGTTGAATAGAGCCCTGTCTGATTGACATTCGGGATGGAGTCGTGGCAATTGTTGCTGCATCCGCAGCTTTGGGGTCATCTCCTCCTCCCCCCAGTAAGCTCCTAAGACTCTTGCCCCCCCGGATTGGCTTTCCTTGATCAACCATTTCGTATTCCGAACAAGAATCTTCGACTGTTATCCGGTCTCGTAGTCGTCGCACCGCCCGTTCTCGCCGCACCATCGCATTGGTAATTTTGGGACAGTACCCGCTGGGCAGCATGCAGGCTTTGCAAATCGGACATAGCGAGCTGTTTTCGCTGAGAAACTCGTCGATACACTGCGTGTGGAAGATATGCCCGCAGGGAATCTCGCGGATAACCGTGACTCGGTTCTGGTACGGTTCCAAGCAGATAGCGCATGCTGGCTGATAGTCGGTCGCAACGGTGCTGGGGGCTTTCTCTGACATAGCCACGGTTAGCCCAGAAACGGACTGCGCGGTGGCTGCTTCCGACTGAGTGCGACTGCCTCCCCTGGGCCTATCGGGACGCAAAGATCTCGGCGATGTTGGCACACTGATGCTGTCCGGCTCGTAATGGTAAGTAAACAGAGGAAACGTGTCGATGACCTCCATAGGTACCCTCAATCGCTTGATACCCATTCGTTCTAGGTTGACCTCGCCGGAAATGACACGTCTGCGCAGGGATGAGCGACGTTTGGCTTGGATGAAATGCATCAAGAGTGAAATCCCGATAATAGCGCCCAGGAGAACACCGATGATGATCAGGATGTAGACCCATATTCCAGGTAGAGCGGTGTCGGTTGAAACCGACAACTCGGTCCATACTCGGACAAAATCGCCCGGGCTAGGATTATACACTTGGGCGATTCTATCACCAAAGGGTATTTCCGACACGTTACCCGAGTACAAGCTCAACTGGTTCATAACTCGTTGACCAGCGGCACCTGACATGGCATAGATGGGATACCCAGCTTGGGATCTCCATTTTCCACCGTCTCCAATATCCCATTCATCTGAACTACCCTTGGGAGGTTTTTCGGTCGAGTTGTCGGGTTTGTAGAAGATGAGACCTCGGACCGGGTCTTGACGAGCTGAGATCAAGAAGTGTCGAGCACACTGGGCATTAATCCAAGGCACAAGGGCGATAAGGTTGATATTAGCGGGCGGAAGCTGAGCACGACGAGGAGCGCTTTCTGGTATGTATGCGGTCAAGTTATCCACACAAGGATATTTCTCGGAAAGGTCGGGGACGTATAGTAGACCCTGGATGACGCCATTCTGGGTTGCTGCATACTTGGAGGCCAGGACCGTTATATTCTCGGCGATGCGGGTCGAAACTGTGAGTGTGTGCTATTGACAGCGTGTCAACGAAAAGTCTCGCACGACAGCAGGGCAAACTACCAGACATACTGTTAAAGCCGTCACATTTCTGATGACGGTGTTGGAAATAGTTGTGCCACCGCGCCAGGCTGGATTGCTAAGTAACAGGCTGCACCAAGTTGAGGCAGGTCAGCAAGGACAGTTCCGACGCTGTGGCATCTAGCACAGGGGAGCTCGCGATATCGGGACTAAAGCTGGTGCCATAGCGATCCATCGCGTCCGAAGCCATATGGCTTTGGCTTAGGATGCAGATGAAGTCTTGGCGATCGAACTTGGCGACAGAGAAAACGAGGCAGAGTTGGAACTTGGCTGGGCTTAGGAAGGGGAAGCTCCAGTGCAGGGTCCACTTGGAGTGGGTTAGGAAGGAGCTGAAGGAAAGGCGGACGAGATGGGGGAGTTGGATAAACCACAAGTAGGGAGGACGACGACGTACACGACATTCCGAATCTCATCGACAGCTGCAGCAACAATCGTGTCAGTAGATGGCCCTCAATAATTGTGTTGGTATGACGAGGTCAAAGATGTGTCCTCGTGGCGGCGACAGACAGTGCTCGTTTCCTGAGGCTTGGCGAGGCTTGGCTAGCCAAGAGGTGATGGCCTCAGGAGCATCGACCGGACGCCAAGCACTAGGAAAGCGGAAGCGGAGGGGGGGGATGGGTGCTTTTCGGGGTGCTTTTCGGAGGGGCTTCGAATTATAGGGGGGGGGGGGAAGAGAGGGAGCGACGGGACCACCCACACATAGACATTGTTGGGCATTTCGAAGGGTTTACAGCGGCCCTTCGGCTCCGGGTCTTATGGCATCCGCAAAACAGCCGTCTTTTTGCGAAAGAAAGCCGTAGGGGAAAATGGGCTGTGGGTGCTGCTGCCCTGCCGCTACTGCTGGAGGTTGAAAGAGAGAGGGTTTGGTCGATGGCGAAAAGAAAGGACGGACAGCCGGGCGAAAGATTGGAAGTCGTTAGGGGAGAACTGGGATGTTTCAGGGTTTGGTCGGTATGAAGTTAGGGGGAAAGATTGGCGACAATGGAAGTTGGCGTGCTCGAGGTTGCTTGCGAAGTCAAGTGGAGGCTCGCTTTTCGCTGCCGTGGCTGCCAATTCCCAATCAACTCGACGAACTTTCGAAGGACGGGTGCTGCGCGCCCTCTGCCTGGTTGCACTGTCTGCTGCTGTTGCAAGGAAAGAGTGACGGGGAGATGGGAAAAGAGCCAAGATCTGGCCGACCGTGAAGCCAAGGAAACGGGAACGGCGAGTGCAGATGTTGCAGTGCAGATTGCAGCAAAAGGCACGTTCGGCGGGAACGCAGACCACAAAGACCGACCGAACCGACGGGACAAGACAAGGCGGACGGGATGGAGAAGCCAGGCGATGCGATGGGGATGCCGGAGCGCAGCCGCTCGCCGCTCGCCGGGGGGATGCCAGTGATTTTTCAGGTGTCGACTGCAGTTTCACTCCCAAGTTGACGTCTTTTGTCATCCACCCGACCACAGTCTAGCGTGGTTTTAGTATTACCAAGTACATGCCTGGCCGTTCCTGTCCGTGCGTTCTCACCCACCCACTCCCAACGCAAACGTCTTTTCCGACGTCCCATCGTCCATCATATTTCCATTCGGCTGCACAATGCCCCGCTGCGTCCTGCTTCGCTGCTTTCCTCACCTTTCTTTTTCTTTTCGCAGACCGATCTGAAGCGAGCAGAACTCCTTGCGATGCGTTGTGCGTCCCGCCTTTTTCCCAGAGGCGAAAGCTGTATCGCCAGCAAGATCGCCTGCTGTTCAGCCGAAGAAAGGGGGTCAAGGCATGGTGAAGTGTCTGTCCCAATTTGGAGACAGGACTGCTACGGAACCGTGAAGACACTTCAACTATGAGCGATGGCAAAAGAAAGAATAAATGAAAAAGAAAAGCCGGCGACAGCTCCCGCGGACCGTCTCAGCAAGACAAAAGCGAGGTGCATTCTGGGATCATGGGAGTGCCGTCGCTCGCACCTTCCCTTCGCTTCCCTTGCCCCTTCGATGCTGTTTCCGACGTCCTTCCATTTCAAGACAAGGTAGGTACGATTTGTTTTTTGTGCTAATCGGCATCAACAATAAAAGAGGGCTTCCTTGCTTCACCTTGCCCACTCAGCCCCGTGAGGCTTCGGATCGCACGCTTATTCCGTTCGCATACACCACCCCATCCGAAAGACGGGGACGGGGCACAATAGGGTGTTGATCTCGACGTGATGACTGGATGGCTGGAGATAAAAGGAAATAGGTGTGAGTATGGTATGTTCACGGATTCATCATCCTGACGTCTGAGTTTTGTCACAGATGACTTCTCAACTCGCTTTTCTCGAAAGCCTGTTGTTTTGTAGACTCCAATATTTTAGCAAAGCGAACCAGCGATCGACATGCTCTACTGCGTAGTTCAAGCGCTCGGTATCAAACCGAACCAAACATCGAACCATGACTAAGCCAAGTATGTACACCTCTGCATGGATATACAAGGGCAGCGTGGTACACACAGCCAAGGCGCTACTGACACTACAGAAAACTTCGGCTTTAAGAAGTCCAAAATTGCCATTTCTCGTAGAGACTGCCACCTTGCGCGTGGAAGTTTTGCCACTCCCAGAGATCGTCCAATTGACGAGGTGCCCTTTTATATCGACGCAGAGGTGTAGTGTACAGGCAGGTTTCCGACGACTCAAGAACCAAGTTTCATCTCCAATACATCAAACTAGCAATCCCTCAAAAGCAAAACTCGATATTCTTAGTAGAAGCATCGACCTCACTTCTTAGCTTAACCTTTGGCTCCACTATGAAATCTAACTGGATACCCGACTCGGAGTCTCTCAGAATGCGCTCAACGCTCCTTATTCTTGACTGTGTCAAAGACCATTCCAGACTTTCAGCTGGTGATCTTCACTT